GGTTGTTGAGGCCCCCCAAGTGGTAGAAATTGGAACATATGGTCAATGGGCTTTAGAGGTTTTGACCTATCAACAGGTCAGGTGCACCGACCGTGACCCCCGTCACCATTGTAAAACCATGCGGGAAAGCCTGCATATTCTGGTGTCAACGCCTCCTAAGCTCCTAAACAACATATGTCTAACATGTGGAAAAGGTAATTACTGCACAAGAGGTGATTACTGTAGTATAAAAATGTATATATAAAGTCATTAACTAAAACTTTAACTACAGTAATTAAAAACCTTTTGTAAAGTAGAGCCAAAACCTCTCGTATCTATAAAGTCCTTAACCTTAACGAATAACGATCATTCGTCTTCCAGTTTGTACCTTGCATAGAATGGATGATCCCAACATGGTCAAATTTGTGAAATCTGAGCCATTAAAAAATACCCCGTTTTCCCATCTCATTATACTAGTTGGTTGATAGGTCTACCTATAGGGTTATCATGATCCCTCATTGTTTTCTAGTATATATTAACCAACCAACCAACCAACCGGACTATCTTCAAGGGCTCATTTGGATACCCTCTCGTAATTTAACATAGCTATGACCATAGGGATTGGATTCGAATCTCAGGCCACTGGGGCAACAACAGGTGTTTCTAAGCCAGACATGTATCCGTACATTCCATACTCAACAAACTTTAACATGTCCTGTGGGAGTCAAGTTTTTTCCTGTTTGCAAGCACTATAGAAACATAAAAACACCTTAACACTTTTCCGGCAATTCGGACTTCCGTCCGAATGACCCAAAAAAAACCGTCCATTTTCCGCGATACAAAACGGTCACTCGGCGATGTCATTGGCATCATCCCCCACAGGTCTGAGCCCGGGGCATGTTGCTATCACAATGCCCTGCTGATATGCCAGCCTGGCTGTGGATCCACATGGTGTTTTCCGAGCCAAACGAACCCCAAAAAAAACAGTCTAAGAAGAAGAATCTGGATGAGGGATGATGAAGGTTGCCATCCTACAGGCTGTTGCATCAGGTTTTTTCTTCAAGAACTTGTGCTGCAAAGAAATGTCAATGAAACTCCAATGGCCGCGACATTCAATTGGACAACAACATATAGTCGGATAATGTCGGATATGTATGGCTATGTTCGATGAATCGCCGTTCTGTTTTTAAAGGCGCCAGTGATTTTTGTTGACGTCGGCTGTGGCTCCGGCCTAGAGATCATGTGGGAGTTCCTGGTCTCACAGATCTTGCAAGTGAAGAGAATCCTTGCCAGGTCAACAAAGGGATGCGAGGAAGGTGGGTTTTGTTAGCCCCTTGGAAGCTACCAGCCAGTGGAAAAAAGATCATTCAAAAACTTGAAATGAATAGACAATGTTAAAAGAGTATCTGAAACCACCAGCCCAATCATCCCATTCAGGGCTGATGTCTATCCCATTTGAATCCCATTTATCTCAAGCAACAAGCACAGGAATCACAACAAGCCTTACCAAGCCGTGCACAATGGCCCGCTCTTTATGCCACCCACAGAACTGCAACTCGAGCTACCTGCAATCCATTACCCATGACGGATCCATGGTGCTGGTACCCTCTGGTAATTTAACATAGCTATGGAAAATCACCATTTTTAATGGGAAAATCCACTATAAATGGCCATTTTCAATAGCTATGTTAGTTTACCAGAGGGTATATATGCTAACATTTGGGGTATATTGATGGATCCATGGCACACCATATATAGCAGCACCATGGATCCGTCATGGGTTATAACCCCTAAACCCTCAGATCTCCTAAGTCGCAACGCTTGCATTTCCAAGACGGCCACTTCCCCCCGTTTTGCGGTCGCTTCGCCTGAATTTTCGAGGCGCCACACGGGCAAAAGGAATGGGTCCGCTGCTGGCATCCTCCGCAGTTTGCTGGAGGATCTGGAGTATCTCTGTGATGGTCTTAGCGTGTTGGTTTTGTTTTTATGTTAAATTAGTATAAACATGGTTTACAATGATTTAACATGTCATATCTAGTCATATCTAGTCATTATACAAACTAGTCATTATATGTCATTATATAAATCATTACTAGTCCTATTGTTAGTACCATGGTGTTATTGTTTGTAACTACAACCATGGAACTGGGTGATAGATTGTTGATATTCGTGTGCATCATCTGTCCTCAATGAGAGATCACGCATACCGTATGTTTCTCTTGGGTGGCAAATGAGAGTGCCAAGAGGAATCAAGACTTAGCGGCGCTTAGCGCTTCTGTGAAAAAATGCAACAGGAAGCTCAAGCCATCATACCGGTTCTATTATGTTATATTGCCAGTTGATCAAATGCGAATTAGCCATCATTCTGGATCATTATGGATCATTCTGGGATCGTTGCTTGCTAGTTTCAAATGTTTCAGTTTGTCCTGTCACACATATTGAATCAATATATTGATTATTGAAACTCGCTCACTTGCTTGTCCTGTCCGTATATATATATATATATTAAATATTGATCTGTTTGGTATCATCCCAAATGGATGTTTCCCAAGATGGGGTGTGCCCATGGTTTTGGGATCCTCCATGTTAAGAAACACCAAACTCGCAACACATTCACAGAATTCAAGGAAACAACCAACTTTCCAGTCCTGGCTCGCAGCATCCGAGCTTTGCCTTACAGCATTCCGAATTGCTCAAGGGGATATCCTCGTCTGGAGTTCCAACCATGAAACACAGATCTGATACAGTCTGTTTGATGATACTATATATATATATATACGTGTGAGCGATATGACAAAGAAACCAAACATATTCAATAAAACCGTATAACTCAAAACCATATAACTCTATAAGTATATGATTGCCATGTATCATCATACTCACACATATTGTATAGTTATATATATACACATATATGTCTAATATATATATATATATAATTATATATATATATATATACATACACATATAATCCCTTCCTCCTACTACTAAACGTCCCCCAAATACTAAAAACTAGGGTCCATCTCCAATTTTGGAAAATTTCAGATTGGCCAATTTGACTTTTAATTGATCCCCTTTAGAAAACAATTTAAACATAAAACTACCATTTGTGTGTTTCGCCCCCTAATAATCAAAACTAGTCAACCCCAGGGTGTTTATTATTAGGGTCCGTCCGAAAATTTTTAGTTTTTATGATTAAGGATTTAATTTTATTAATAGGGTCCGCTTCGAAAACCAACTTTTGGCAAAATTTTAATTGCGTTATATAAGGAAACTTAATTGATTTTGAGATCGGAAAATAGCTCCCCGCCTGCCAGGTGAGGGTTGTTAGATTTTATCAGAGATGTTCTCCTCCTCCTCCGCCTCCTCCTCCATCTCCTCCTCGTCCTCCTCCTCGCAGTCCAGATCCCAGTGGGCACAGCCGGACCTCCACCGCGAGCTCCAGATCCCAGTGGGCGCTGCCGGACCTCCACCGCGAGCTCCAGATCCCAGTGGGGCACTGCCGGACCTCCACCGCGACTTCCAGATCGCAGTGGGCACTGCCGGACCTCAACCGCGACTTCCAGATCGCAGTGGCACTGCCGGACCTCAACCGCGACTTCCAGATCGCAGTGGGCACTGCCGGACCTCAACGGCCAGATAGAATGCCAGAAGATATGCCAGATAGAATGCCAGAAGATATGTCAGATAGAATGCCAGATAGAATGCCAGAAGATTTGCCAGATAGAATGCCAGAAGATATGCCAGAACATATGCCAGAAGATATGCCAGATAGAATGCCAGATAGAATGCCAGAAGATATGTCAGATAGAATGCCAGAAGATTTGCCAGATAGAATGCCAGAAGATATGCCAGAACATTTGCCAGAAGATATGCCAAATAGAATGCCAGAAGATATGTCAGATAGAATGCCAGAAGATTTGCCACATAGAATGCCAGAAGATATGCCAGAAGATATGCCAGAACATATGCCAGAAGATATGTCAGATAGAATGCCAGAAGATATGCCAGAACATTTGCCAGAAGATATGCCAAATAGAATGCCAGAAGATATGTCAGATAGAATGCCAGATAGAATGCCAGATAGAATACCAGATAGAATGCCAGAAGATATGTCAGATAGAATGCCAGAAGATTTGCCAAATAGAATGCCAGAAGATATGCCAGAACATATGCCAGAAGATAAGCCAGGTAGAATGCCAGATAGATTTGCCAGTAAGAAAATGTATAAATGCCATGGTGGGGATCATTCGAAGTGAAGTAATTTTTATTATTAAGGGTTTAATTTTATTAATAGGGTTAACTAATCATAAATATCCCCCTAATACTAAAAACTACCTGAGGTGTTTATTGTGTGCGGGGGTTAGTATTAGGAGGAAGGGATTATATATATATATACACATATATATATACATATATATATGTATATATATATACATATATATATATGTATGTATATACAATTATATGCATCTGGATCCCATACCAGTGTATATAGATATACATACACACACACACACACGTGAAGAACTTGACCCACTCACATTGATCGATTAAGCTGCTGACTCGGGTGCGGCACCGAGCATTTTTGGAGGTCCAGGCTCCTACACAACACACAAAATGCTGTGCAGGAAATGATTCTTGGTATGGGTCAAAAGTACAGATGACACAGCCATATTATAGAACACCAGGTCTCAAAAACACGGTTTTTGAGAACGCCCGAAACCGCCCTGAAGCCAATTATGGAACCAATGGAGCCGGATCTGCTTCTCTCTTGGGCGAGGGAACTTGTCGTAGCTTGTTGGCATCAAATGGGTGGGCCATGGGGTAAGTGAATTGGTTATTGGGTGAGTGACACATCCTTCACATCCTAAAAAACACTGTTTCATCTTATTCATACCCCATACAGTGCCATACGGTACCTGCATTCTTGATGATTTTAGGTACCTACATGTACTAAATCCTACTAACCCTTTGCTGGATTTGCTGGATGGCCACTCCTAAGGCGCTCGCCGCTCCATTTTCACTGGACACGGCGGTCACCACGTCAGGACCGCGAACGTTTGCGCCGCCGGGAGCGCGACCGTGAAGCCTTGCGATGACGGAGACGTTGCCGTTCCTCGCAAGTTGGCGGCTTGCAGGTGGCGGTCGAAAGTTCAGCAGAGATGGCTGGGATTTCAATGGGATTTCATCGGATATGCAATGATTAATTCCATATAATTTAGCGGGATTCATGGCTAAATATGAAATCTAATAATATGAATGGGAGAACTAATGGGAACTAATGGGATACATGAATGGGCATATGTTGGGATATTTTTCATGGGATTTGAGTACTATAAGATCAAACAATCCTATCCTTCGATCATACGTTCAAATGGGACCCAGGGCATCGTTTCGAGACGAATCAATATCAGGGGGCAAGGCGTTATTGAAATTATTGCTGGTGGCTCAGCGTTGCATCCCCAAATCCTAAATTCTCAGAATTTCTCAGTCTATACATGCTCCATGAACAAAATGTGGTGTGGATAAGCCTACTGCAGTGCCCATCCTTGATATCCTAGACGTTCGATGTTGATAACATCAATCCACTGGATGGTTCACTGGGTTATCACTAATATGGTTTTGAAAAAAACGTTGCACCTTTGGTAAATGATCCGGTCCAATGGTTTCCCAGGTGGATTCAAAACAAAAACATATTATATACATAATGAAAAATCTATTATGAAATAAAAATCATTATATATATGTAATATATTTGTACTATATACATATATACACTAGATATTTATATGTTATATTTATATGTATGTAATAAAAAAAATAATCATGTAATATATATATTCATGCATGTTCGGCATGTTCCAAATATTGAATATATATATATGTAATATATATATATATGGTATATATATATGTATATATATATGTGTAATATATATATATATGTGTGTAATATATATATATACATATATGTAATAAATAAATATGTATGTAATACAAATGTGTATATATATATAGGTAATTCAGACTATATATATATATATATAAATGAATTACGTATATTACATAATTCCTTTTTTTTATTACATATATAAATACACTACTTATGTATTATGTCGACATATATTCCTATAGACAGCTTATTTTCCATCATCACATTCCACGTTGAAATGATGCCATTCTGATAGTATATCTCATCTTCAGACACACCCAAATCATGTTGGTTGTCCCATAGCATTTCATTATTGTATACCTCCATAAATGACTCCATAAAATGAGGTGGATTTACACGCATTCTACATTAATACAAACTTCCATGATGTTCAATGATTCCTGCAATTTTGTAACGTTTTAATATCATTGGTTTCCATGGTTTTGATGACTTGTTAATTGGTTTCCATGAGCATTTGCATGTTTTTTGTCCATGATTTTCGTTGAATTTCCATGGTGTGCCCAAAAACGTCCCCTGCTTCCGCCATCCGAATTGGAGCGTCATAGCGTTGCTGCCGCTCTTTCTCCTTCCGCTGCTTCTCGGCCTCCTTTTCTGCGGCCGCTTTGGCTCCTGCGATATCTGCGATCTGAGACATCCATCGTGGAGTCCATGGGTATGATTGAGGTACTTTATATCATTGCTATCAGTATCAAGGATCAATACTTACAATATTTAGTTATAGTTATTAGTCATCAGTTCCAAAAACTGATGAAATAATTACTATCATTGCTATATCTGGTTGGCGGTTTTAACCCATCTGAACAAATATATGAGTCAATGGGAAGGATTATCCCATATATTATGGAAAAAACATGTTTGAAACCACCCACCAGATATCATCTATATGCTGATAAATTGGAGGTAAAAAGAATTGACCATGGTTCAGAAGATGAACGCACCTATGAAGTCTATGAAGTTACATATTGCAATGATTCGTTGGTCTCAATCATTGGATGGGTCTATAAGATTCCATAATATTGGAGTATGATGATATAAACATATAGACCTTTAGGTTTATAATAATCAGATTGATACATTTGATATAATTAAGGACAGGCATGCAGGATTCCTTAGTTATATCTGTATACATATAATATATATATATATATGTATCAGAACTATGATAACTATGACCTATAGAGAAAGTTCCATGGATGTTAATCAATCATATTGTACGAATATCCTAAGTTGATGGGTCTATAGGATTCCATTGTCAGGCTGCATACGTATCAACCTGATGCAATCAGCAGCCTGAAAGCTTCGGCCCACCATGGGGATGATTGCCCCTTACCATCCAGATTTATGATGCTGGATGTGTACCCGGAGGATCAATTGGGTCGTTTGTTCTGATGCTACCCAGAACCTCCATGATTCTCCTTGTAAAACATCGTAAAACCATGTAAAACCTGCATTTAGTTCGGGGATTTCCCAGAGGCTCGCAACCTTTGAGAAGGACATTGACTAGCCGGGTGTCCAATGACCCTCATTGACCCTCCATCCTCGCTGCTCGACAACACGAATGCTGGCTTCCAACTGCGGCAAACGAAGGCCAGGTCACCCATGCGGGCTTGGTGGAACTGCTGATCCAGAATGATCCCCAACGATTGGTTCATGGGAATATCGACTCAAGCAACCATGTCAAAACAACAGAAATATTAAAAAAACCTGCATTTGTTTCCTTTGCACCAATTCTTGGACCAATGATCCCCAATGTACAAATATATGCTAAATTCATCTGGATTCTCTTCATTACTTCAGAAATCTTCAGAGAAGCAATGGACATCAATTGCCCATGGTCGTCTATTGACTTCAGAATGGCACGACTGCGAAATGAACTTGCTGGCTGGACACGTGTTGCAACCATGATAATATTTAATTTAGAGGATCCTTCGAAGTTATGATATTTCTATATCTCTGTACACACACACACTCTTTGGCAATCTAACATAGCAATGGAATTATAGAATATTTCACTCAACTTAGTTTGTAAAATATGTAATTTTCCGTATCTATGTAAAATTATGTAAAATTACCAAACAATATGAAAACAATAAATAAAAACAATTAGTATACACATATACACCCACAACTTGATACAACTTGAGGCTTCGCGAAGTTCCTTATGATAAAGGGGGCTCTATGGGCTACCAATTGACCCACAGGATGGGCCCAACAAATCCCTTCACCCCTTATCTAAAAAACACATGCGTTCGTACCCAGATCAATATTAAACCAACTTTTAGGAAGGATTATGCGATAATACTATGTCATCAATATGTGTATGTATATATATTCAACAATTCCACCATCTTAGATATAAAATTGTGTATATACATATATTAGGAGGAAGGATTATATTGATCAACTGTGTATTTGAACCGTATCTCAGCATTACCCAAAAACCCAAACATGGGAAACTATCAAAACTGGTTGGTTGGCTTCATAATATTTCATAATATACATATTTGCAACTTCCCACAAAAATGCTGAAAATAGCGTGGAAACCTGCAAAGCACGGCTTTCAAACTATCAACCAAGTATACCTTGCTGGTAATACAGACTTCGGCAACTCTTTTAACATTTGGGGGGCTACTACAAGTTCAGAACTTATAAACATTTCTTTGGGGGGCTTACTAGAAGTTAAGAACCATCCAACTGTTCATAACTATTCTACAATATTCTATCTTCATCCCTATAGGCCCTATATCCCCTATATCAGCAGCAGCCCGTTGGTTTCCCACCTTGTCATCCCTCTCTTGCCAGCGTCGCGCGGCTTCCTCTGCCAGCTTTCGCTTTGCATCTTTGTCCACCTGGCTGGAGACAGGCGAAGGCGACAAAGGCGACGAGAAAACACACGTTTTGTTTGACCAAAATAAACAACACAACTTGGGAACTCCTATACATGGGATTATGATATGGATTAGGCCCATGGATTATGGAACGGACTAAAATGTAACCAACAAGAATGATCGAACGCTGTGATGTTAAAAAAAGAAACAAGGCTTTAATAGCAACAGCAACGATCAGAAACTTGGATTTACAATCAACAAAAGCAGCGATTTCGGGGGATTTAAGCAACAAACAATTCAAGCAAAAAAGAAACACACACACATAATATATATATATATAAATACATATTATATATAATATTATATTATGATATAATTTTAAATAATATTATATAATATCATATTTGGAAGGGATTTAAGCAACACAAATAACACAATGATCATTCAGAAAGGAATCCAACCAGCAACACGGATGAAACATAAATCGGCTGCCAACATCAATGTGACTCAACTGACTCAGGGTTCTGGTAGTTGTTTTATCCCCCAACTCAACCAACAATCAACAGATATCAAGAGGGACAGGAAGAGTTTAGAAACTCATTTCACTGACCTGCTGGCACTGCTGGCTTCCAAAGTTCACCTCCTTGCGCTTCTTCTTCGTCGAAGACGTCTCCGTGGAATCGGAACTGGTCGTCGTCTTCTTTTTCTTCTTTTTCTTCACCTGCAACCGTTGGAGGTTTCCTAAAAAGGGGAAAGTAATTATAATTACCATTAAATACCCCAAATCATCCAAATTGGGCGATGTTCGTGCAGCCATTGTTTGGGGATCCTCCATTTTAGGATACCACCAAACTCGCCGGGATTTATGGATGTTCCTTCCCCAAACATGGTATGTATTGATCCATAGTCATATGTATCCTCTGAGAATCAAACGTGGCAATGGAAAACTGGTTTCATGGGAAATGAATCTAGCAAGCTGTAGATGTTCCGCTGATATGTTTGACTACTGGAGGGGATTCAAAGACAAAAGACATATGATCGAATATGACAAATGTAATATTGTAGGCCCCTGGAATTCATAATAAATTGACATTGCAACTTGAGTTGACTCCCATACCAGCAACAATATATCCATCAAATCTAGGATGTTTACGGATTACACACCCTTCAACACTCTGTAATTTTGTTTATATAGACTAGAACTATAAACATTGACATAAAAATACAAATAAACACCATAATTACAGTAATGGTAATTGCATGTTACCACATGTTTGCAAAACCAAACCGTGCCCCATTCCGAAATATGCCGACTCCACCTTAGGTTTCACCGGCACCGACGGCACCGACAGCACCACCGGCCGCGTTTCCACGACAGTTTCTTCGTCATCGAGTTCCACTGTGACGGGGGCAAGCGCCTGGTCATTTTCCCACTATTGAGGTGGAAAGACGCAGAACTGATGATAAATGTAAATAAAAACATATATAATAACTGTATATGCAAATGTATTCCATAGCTGTTAGCTGTTTAATCACAACCATGACAAGTCATAGAATGTTAATGAATGTTAGATATTGTACATGTTCATAGTCGGTCGGTTTCATTGTATACAACCCCTTCTTTATATATGTTTGATGCTGGTTGCTTTTGTTTCGCCGAAGAAAAAAACACATGCCATGAAGATGATTGCCGACGATCATCAAAAGTCGAAATAGCCTTCCTTCACTTCCTGATGAATTACGGTACTGTATGGTACTGTTATATAACTGTCATATATGGTACTATATAGATTATATCCTTCAGAACGTTTGTATCGACGATTTCCAGGGGAAACGACACGTGTTCACCGCGCCTGTGATGCAGTCAAGTCTATACTCGCCTGGCCAGCACTGTTGGGGTGGCAGTTGCCATCCTGGCAGGTTATCATTGGTTGTTATCTTTGGAGCGTACATGAGCGTACCCTTTATTCATATACCAACTAGATGTAAGAAAGGACATTTATGCAAACAATAAATGTTAAAATGCTCTGTTTCTTCTCAGGGAAGCATAAGCACAGAAAATCACACTAATATACCAAACATGATCAAACAATACAACAAAGTCGACAAAATGCAGGTGATATCATATGTGCCATGCACGGGAAGAAAGCAGAAGCTTTTATACAGAGAAACTTTTGCACAAAACAGCTTTTGCACACAGAGAGCTTTTGCTACACCACAATCGTAAAGCATACGAGCATATGTGACTACCGGCTCAATTCCAAATGAAGTCGTCTACAGGCACATTCTGAGCAAATGGTAAGAATATGTGTAATAATACATTCCCCAAACCAGAAATAGTTTGGCAATGATCAATATTTATGATATTCAGTTATAGTTATTAGTCATTAGTTCCCAACACCAAACATAATTAGTATCTTTATGGATGATGATTGCCCTGACACTATGTGAGATGTTGCTACGAATCCCCCACACGCTCCACACGTCCAAATGACCTTGGCTTCTTTGGCCGTCTGCGATAGACCTACGAGGAAACTTGTGGAACAAAAAGCATATCATCAGTTCCAGCATTGGATCTATGGTGAATGATATTCACGCAGACGCATTATCATAATCATACAATGACATAGTTATAGAAAAAAACACATAGTTATAGCATTGTACCATATCATAGTTTATGAGCTATGGTTAGTTAGATAAACATATATCATCCACATTTTGTCAGATATTGTCAGCATCATGCTCTATGGTTCTTAGTTTTTTAAAGTAGAACTACAGAGTTTCCGAACGTCCAAGCATTGGCTGGTAAGCTCCACAAGAATCGCACATGTTCGAAAGCATTCGACGTATGGAGTACCATGCAATGCAGTAGCTTCTCTTTGTCAAAGGGAATCATCCAACAATCCGAGTCGCCAACTACCGTCATGAAGCGTTTGATACTGTTAGAATGGGATTGGAGCCATAGGGCATTGGTAGGCAAACGAAATTTTTTAACAAGTTGCTTATACCTGACTAGTAGTACCTACTACGACTATATCTTTGATTATTTTGTAGACTAGAGTGACAAGCATGTCCACTCAGGGACATAAAAAGGCAACGCTGCAGCAGTTATTTAGGGAATGACATTTCACAGGTGTGACTAGCCTCCGCATTCCAAGGAATGGGGCCAAAACAGGAAATGCACACGATTCATAATTCGATCTGCATAGGAAAATCCGAATCCAAATGATTTCCTACATCTGGTTGTGAATGATATTCCGGTCTATTTTTGATAATAAATGATAATAAAATTTATTTGGTACACAATTCAATTTGAGAAAACCTGCAGTCCAATTCCGCTTTCGGAAGTTCCGCGCCTATCACTTCGGCATGTTCCGCCGAATCGCCACCCTGGGAGGGTTTGCTGGAGTGTTGAATATCTTGAACTAGCAACAATATGATGAAAGGATATTGAAGGCGACTCAAGAAACCAAACAGGGATTGAATGCCATTGAATTAAGAGTGCATATCATACGCCATACTGTGATCAAAAGCAATTTGCATGACTTAAATGCAGCTCTTGCCAACATGTTCGTCCAAGACTCGTCATGAACATCAAGCGCAATCCATTCAACTGCGCCCACCTGTTTCTGCTGATCAGTAGTCTGGTGAAAAAACCCGCCGCCCTCCGATGTCATCAAACATTGCGGGCTGCTAAAACATCCCCTACAAGGCCCTACAAATGAAGGCCTTAGATGGTTTTAGTGGGACAAACATGGCGATTTTGATGGAACCCCCATGCAGAAGTAGGACAGCAAAAAAAAACAACTTACGCAACGTGCCAAATCTTGGAATCTTCTTGGAATCTTGGCAGATCTGAAAACGCTTCATCAATATCAGCTACCTCATCCTTGTGATCTTCCATGGCACATCACTCTTCCCGACATGGCCATCCGCCCCGCACACAAAAAGGAGGATGGTCTGAAGACTGCTGGTTTGTTGATCGCCTAAAGGTCGAAGTTTTAGCGGTATAAACAGTAAACCAATCTAATCCCAACAAAGCAAAAGATCAAGCGCTGCAATACACCCAGACTTGGAAAATTCTGAAACTCCGGGACAACTGAACAAGTGAATTTTGCCCTTGGAGACAAACTCTATGTGCATTCATGTCCAAATGATAAACATTGAGCTTGAACCTCAGCGCGAACACCGAACCCCATGTGAGTCCCAGTTCCGGAAACACCTGGAGACCATTTTGAGATACTTGGCCCAAGTTTCAAAAAATGATGGAGAAACCGCATTCCATAGTCCTTTCGGTCTCTAACTCCTAGGTTTCTGGTCTTGCTGAGATGTCCATGTCCACTTCTGCCATTGCCCCTTCCAATTTGCACACACTCGTAATTTTGTCAGCAGAGTTTAAACCGAAAAGCTCCTGCCGGAAATATTTCAAAAATAGAAGGTGAGGTTCCCTGGATAATCTATAGCTAAGTGGACTTATAACTTGGTCTAGGCTATGGGGGGTAGCTGCATTCATTATAATACGGTTTAAAAACTACCTGAAAATGGGGGCAACATTGTCTCATTTTATCCTGCACCACGCAACCTCTGTTAATTTTCCACTGCTTCTGTCTCTTACAGACCTATCGATATATTAATAGGCATTGTTTTTAATTGACACTTCCGCTCTAACGCGTCTGCGAATATCGGTACTTTATGCGATGACATGCCGATACCTTAGAGGTCAGTCGCATTGGCGACTGCAAAACAAGGCTAGTCACCTGCGCCAACCAAGGATGCAAACTGTGGGAGGGGCGTCTACTTCAACATGCTCTAAGATTACATCTTTCCCTCAAAAAACTGAAAGTTGCAGGTGGTTATCATTCATCCAGGCGAATGGTATGTAGGTGAGCGGCCCGATTTTTTGCAATTTTTCTCGAGGTAGAACAAGTCATGCACCAACAATTTCTGCGCATTTGGCTCTTCTTACTATTCACACATATTCACACTATTGACTGACTAAACTCATATGTCTCTTTGATTTCCCAAAGTTCCAGCAGGATCCCCCAAGGTTTTCGCGCAAACGTCTCCTTGCCCAAGGCTTGCTGCGCCAGAGCGTCTGGACGAAGTGGTCAATAATTTGGTGAATGATGTGCGACTTGGAAAAGCAGCACTTTTTGGAACACGTAAATAGGTTTTCCATGGGCAATAATCAATAATAATCAATTTATATTAATTGATTTTCCATTTTGGAACGCGTTGGAAACCGATCATTTTTTATAATGTAGCTAATTTATTATTTTTAACGATTGGAACATATGTTTCCAAAAATGGAAAACACAATGTGGAACATCAGAATCCAACATATTACAATTTGCTATGGAAAACACAAATTTGAAATAGGTAAATCAGGAATGTTATCATGGATAAATGGGCAATTGTCCATAATGGTGCAAACTTCTGAGCCATGGTGGGATTATGGCTCAGTGAGATTCAAAGATGGGATTGGTGCTTGAAAATGATTGTTAATGTCCATGGGTTTAAGGGAAAGTCTACAGGAAACCATCGATTTTCCTGTGACATATTGGCGTTTCCTGTAATTCTTCCCTTAAACCAATCCGTTGATAATTGTCATTGTGTACCCATTTTTTCTTCGTCTAGAATTGCCAGTTTGGGGGGGTGTCCACCATGTTCGAGCAATGATATGGGGCTGGGCTACATCCCTTGACAAATGCGGCTAAATACAACGTGGTGCCACGTACTTGGCAAAGTTCGCTTCTATCTAGCTTAAATAGAGTTTATGGAGGTTTCTGTTAGATACAAGTACTATCGACACTAGTTAGGCAAGGTTTATAAGCCAACTTCAAACTGGGGGACACGGGAACAGCACCTTGCTTTGTTTGGGGGTACAACTCAGTTCCAAGGTATTTCACTCCGACTTCACCTGAAACCCAGTACGGTCATTAAAGAAATGGGATCCACTATCCACCAAAATTACAAAATTTATTGGGATTCCAACCATCAATCTATATATATATATATTGTTATATATCCATAATATGGTTGGTGAACATGACATTGCCGTACTAAAATTAACCTCAATCCTACAATGTGGGGGTTTCCCAGTTATGTTTGTTGCTTTGTAAACCCCAGAAATTAGTCGTTATAAGATGTTATAAGTACCAAAAAAACATAGTGAACTTGGAGTTATGTTCACACACTTAGCCCCACTTTCTATGATTTTCCCATATTTTCCCATATTTTCCCATATGTTCCCATGTTTTCCCTGTAAAAACCCATGATTTTCCCAGGTCTTCATCCCACCCCAGGGCCTTGATTCCTGGAGCGCCATTGAAGTCCCGCAAAGCAGGGCGCCAGACACAGCCAGAGGGCGAGGCCTGAGACGTGCCCGTGATCGCCCGTGGTAGTCACCAAGGTCTGGTGAATTTTCCGTTGTCGTTTTATCCGGAAGTTTCCGGAAATTGCCCATAGGATCCATGTATGCTATATATGGTAACATGTATCATCCTATGGGTTGGTGTACCTCCCAATCATCCAGATTTAAACCACTTTTGCATTTACACCCATAGTTTGGGGTACCCCCATTCTAGGAAACCTCTCATTAAGGCTTGACGATTATAGACGCGTAGCGGCTACTAAGCTCTATATTTTTCAATGTTGTTGAACAACTCTTATCAAGTATCCAAATCCAGTTGCTTCCCTTTTTGAGAAACAAATCGTTGAATGATCTCCGAGTTGGTCGAAGTCTGGTTGGGCAAAATCTCGGGTTTCTCTTCTGAGAGGTGCCGTTCCAGGTACAAGCGGATATACAAATATACAGGGCTCATATGGTCTTATGATATCCCAACTTATTAAGGTTATTGCAATGGTTATACCGTTCTACCCATGTATAATCCCAACTGCACCCCGAAGTTGACACTCCAAATGGCGAGTCAAAATTGAAGCCCCAGAAGGGGTATATTCTAGAGATGTCTAGAATATGTTTAGTATGTTTAAGTATTACCCACCTAATGATTAGGTACCATATTTTGACCTATACCTATTCTTGGTGGCTCATCCAACTTGCTGAGCAGGTTCTAACCCTTGTTATAACTGGATTCGTGAGATGAGCCACCAAGTACCCTCTGGTAAACACACACACACACACCAAAAAAAAATATCCCGGCAAGAGGCCCCAAACAGTGTGGGGGAGTAGGAGGATAATGCATGATAATTTCGATGATGATGATAATGATGATGATGATGATGATGATGATGATGATAATGGTGAGGACGAGAATTAGGATGATTATGAGGATGGTGATGAGGATGAGGATGAGGATGAGGATGATGATGATGATGATAATGATGATGATGATGACGATGATGATGATGATGACGATGAGGAGGAGGAGGAGGAGGATCATGAGCGGCCCAGAACCTAGGACCACACTTTGTACGAGCCTGCGCAGTCGAAATGCACTTCAGCATTTTCGCAAAAGCAACTTTCAGAAAATTACAGGAAAAATACCGCGCCCCGGAGTGATCCCAGAAGCGGGACCCAGACTTTGCGCGAGCCTGTGCAGTCGAAATGCGTGTCAACATTTCACAAGAGCCACTTTATACGGACATTTACGAGAAAAATGCCGCGGCCCAGCTGGAGCACCCTGATCAAGCACCGGCCTTTACACTTACCGTAAGAACCCCTCAGTGTTGTTTGGGGAACGATGGAAAATCACAATGTCTAATAGGTAAATCAACTATTTCTATGGCCATTTTCACTAGTAGTTCTGTTAAATTACCACATGGTATCATTACAATGATGGTTTAATGATTCGCTATTTGGTGATTACTAACAAGTAATCATCAGGGTTAGTCATGATTGATGTTGGAATAATCTATTTCAGTATGGATCCAAAATTTTCAGCGTTGTTCCCCTTCCTGCCACAGCTAATGCGCCAACTGCAGCCAGCGACTGCAAAGCAAAATGCAGCGACGCGAGCGGCCAAATCGCCGTTTCCCATCCGGCAACATGGCGGCCCAAGGGCAAAACGACCCAGCTCTCCAGGCAAATTTGGGGGTAAAACATGAAATATATATATATATGTATATACACATGTATGTTTATGTATGTTAGTGTGATATTTAAATGTTCTTCTTCGTTTCAATTGGCACCTCTTAAATAATTTGGCTCTGGAGACTCGCCAAACAATCTTCAGATTTCTTCAGTAGCAAAGCTCCAAACTCTAGTGCTGGTGTCAAGTGGGGCGGATGGGCCGCTTCTCGCTTCACTACATCCCTATCCATCGATCGATATGTCAATCCAGTCTTCAGGCGATACAAGTTTTGTATTGGATTGATATGGCTTATCCCACTTTCTACTGGCCTTTCAAGGCAACCTGGTTGGTGGTATACCTACCCCTCTGAAAAATATGAAAGTCAGTTGGGGTGATTATTCCCAATATATGGGAAACATGTTCCAAACCACCAACCAGCAACATTTGAAATCAAAGTCTTAAGCGTCTCCTGGTGAACCATGTGAATGGCAACATGGACCAACGACATCTAACGACGGCCAAGTGTCAATGAAGGAGTGGCGCAAATAAATAACATGTTTGCTTCTTGGTTGCACATGTACATACACATGTATACAGGATCTGCTTATATAAACTATATCATTATCAATTCTGTAACTCTATCGGTTAAATCGTTATTATATACACTTGCATTGTGCACCCAATATCACCCAATTAATTGAACTCCTACAGTACCATATTAAAATTGCCAGATTTTTGTTGGGGCATACTTCATCTTCACACAGTCGTTGACATCGAACATCTCATGGGATTCTCTAATAACATGTATGTCCATACAGAAACCGTGGAAGATATGGGGGTTTCCTAACATGGGGGGTACCCAACAAAAATCAGGGCGAAACGGACTAGATATTTATCTATATTTAGTATTATTGAGTATTGAAACCTATGGGAATCTCCAATGAAATTGTGCCATGTATTGAAATTCATTGAAACCTCCATATTTGTTGGAAGCCGTTGGGACTCATTTTGGTGACCATCTTTTTTGGCCAAGCGGGTCCGTCCGAGACGGCAGCGAAGCTGAGGGACCTGGCTGCAGCTTCGTCAAGTGTGAGAACTAGAGGCATATGATCGATTTTGTCAACGTCGCAACGGACAGGCTGGGATGGCTTTGGCTTATCATTATCCTATGAAATTCGATGGATCTCTTGGAACTGTCCGAACATGTAAGGAAACAAACTCACAATGTTCTTCCTATGAAATGGCAGTACGCTATGCTCTACTTTCAGGTCCACACCAAGGAATCTGGATCCGGGGCCCAAGGCCTCCCAGTAAATAGCAACCATCATGTCTTGGCTGAGTTGTTTGAGGTAGCTAAAGGCTTGGTCTCAAGCCATCCGAACAACTGACGTCAACTGGTACCAGTATATTGGGTGTGTCTGAAAAAGGGGCATTCTTTTACCCTCTAGATGGCAATGGGAAACATCATTTTTTCGATGCTAACAACAGAAATGTGTTTTACGAGTACAACAAACAATGTGGAAACATGACTGGGCAGGTGTAAAATCTTGATTGAAGACACACACACACACACAAACGCATGGGCAAATGATATTCACTACATTTGAGAAATCAGCCCTTCATAAGGCCGTTTCACTTTCTGAGCCTCATTCCCGGTGAGTTTTTTTGTTTTAAGACCACTGCTATCTCGCCACATGGGGAACTATGGGAAATGTAGGAAACCCCTGATTCACTGACGAATCATTCCAAGATTGAAAGGCCTTCCGTCTTCGCCGGCGGCTCACAAAAGCCTGCCGCATGAGGGAAGCTTCTGCCCTCATCTGTCGCATTTTTGCAGCGAATGCTGAATGCCTGTTTAGCGTCTTATGCGTCTTGTTCTGCATGCACAAATCGGATATATGCAACCAGTGTACAGTAGATAACAATGTTTTTTGGCAAATAATATGTTCGTTGATTTGGTTTTCATCCCCGTAAGGATTGCCACAGCAGCGAATCACCATCCACAGTGAGTCTGCAGTGTCTGCACTCATGCCTTCAAAACAAGTGAAACTTATTAATGTCTTAACACCTTATATAAGCATGTCCACCATTCCATCAATATGTTTGCTCTACCAAACTGCTCTACCTTGAACCATTCCAAACACAGCAAGGATTTTTTTCTGGGAGTCATGGCTCTACCATCAGCTTCAAACAACGGTAATAAAAGCTGTTTGCGACGCGGACTGGAGAATCATCAGGTTAGAAAAAGACAGTATATAAATCAGGAGATAAATATATATCATGGTATATCATCGAATTGAAAGGCGGCCATCCATTCTCAGCTGCCATAGTTTTGATGCTTTGTTTTTGACCGGTCATGGGATCATCATGATCATCAGCGCTTCCTCTTTGGGCAATCTCATCCATACATGGTTAACGTATGATAAAACAAAAAAACCAGTCGCAACGCCTATATACCACATCTATCTGGAATTTAGCATGGATGCAATTGGGGGTTGGCCTAGGTTTACCACGTTCATGTTGTCATTAGACTGATCCTTCCACATGTTACCAAATGGCTGCGCTCGTCTTTTCAACTCGTTGAATGTGTGTTGCACCAACGATGTCGCTGTTGATGCCTTAGCAATGCACACATGATGGCGGCTCAAACAGGAAATCCATGGATGTGGGACTTCAAAGCACGGATTTATGGATTTGCTGTGGCCATGGCCATGGAGCTTTCCAGCCCCGCAGCCACGCAGCAGGCATCAGCCAAGCTGTTCACCTGTCATCTGCAAAGCCACTGAGGGCGGGACTACCACAATGGATTGACACAACCAAGGCACCTCAAACTCAAACCTGTAGTCCTCAACTAACAGTCGTTGTTGGTATTTCTCACTATGCATGGGTCAAAAGCAAAAATCCCTCGGAAGATCTCAGAACCAAACAACGGATTGGGTACCTCCGGTCTTCATCCAAGGTTTTTGGCGGTACACTGCACTCAAAATTGGAAACATACCCAACTCCTTGTTTCCGCATGCCTTTGTAAATGAAAACATCCCGAGCTGTCATGAACTAAGCTGCTCCTGGACTTTTACTTGCCATTTGGACACTAAACTCAACTGTGACTGTTTGTCTTTCAGTTTGCGTTGCATATTCCCCTCTGTACATTAATGGAACCGGGAAATGGGCATTACGTTGCGTATCTTTACATATACAACGGCCCCTTGTTGAGCTTCCGCCTGAACCGGCGGTAGCGCTCGAGTGAATTGGCCTTGATTCTGTGACCAAGTTCTATTTCTGTACAAAACATTTCAGGAAAATGAATCTTTGACAGTGCCATCATGTGCCATCATTTCAAAGCCTTAAACATGGATTTTCCGAACATTGGGTATCAAGCCATCTATTCGAGGGGATACCCAGTGTCACATCCATCACCTCTGCGGACTCTACGGTTCCTCCATGGGGCGCTCCGGCCGCGATGTCTTGTCACATCTGCGGCAAGGGCAGGCACCGTCGCGACAGTTGCAACGGGTGCCCCAGAGGGCTCCGCAGGTGATCGACTTGCCTTCCGGGGATCCAAGACCCCGCTGTGACATGCTGTGACGTAGCGTTATATGGGGAAATCCCAGGTTCAGAATGGTTGATGGTGGTGAGGGTCCCGGTAATGGGTAAGGAGTATGAATGATTGTGATATCAGCAAACACACAGACACATATACACACACATATGATGGTGATGTGAAAGTCTCAAAGCTTTTTTTTGGGGGGAGAAACCACCATGATTTATCAGAGATGAGCTAAAAATTGGGAGACCAACAGAAATCGAGATATGTGGTGGGGTTGATGGGTAATCTTGATGGCTCCTTCTTCACTGTAAGTCTGTAATGGCTGATGGAGAATGTTTGGCCAATCTTTGGGGAGACTACCATTCTTCAGCCGGGTAGGTAAGTCAAATCACTATCTTGGATGCTTGAGTAATAAAATGTAGAGAGCTTCGGAAAACTGACCCCAAGTTATCATCCAAGTGAAATCATCATCCAAGTTATTGAAATCAGCTTCTCTCAAAGAACCAAAGGCTGACCATTTAGGGCTTTGCAACACCAAAACACCGCCAGGGTCACATGACACTGGGACTTGGGCCATGGATGGGCCATTGGAGAGGTGAAACATTGAAGTGATAGGCGATGGGCTTATGATCAGACGTGCAAAAACCATGTACCGGTATTTTGTTTATATGTTCAACAAAAACCTACAAGAACATGATGGTGATATGTTTCACCGACTCTTTTTTGCATGGGGAAGGACATGACAAATCTATATCATTATATATTATATCGTAACATGTGAATAGTAGTGAGTACAGAACAAAATCATATAATAATGATATATAATGATTGTTGGATCACGACATACTAACGAAGCGGTTCGGGTCGGGAAAAAATACTGTGTAAAAACACTGTCGTTGGATGTACTCATGTCCCTCGTTTATTTCGAGGAAACGGGAGTTTGAGGGGTCTCCGATCAGAAACATTGGATTGCGTTTAATCGGCTTTATACCACCAAAGTTGGTCGGTTAAATCCCTGACTTTATATCCACGTGCAAGAAGCAAATTAACTGCAGAGAATCTTGTTAGTCAATCCCATTCTTTTCCCACAGTTTTGTACCCCTCATTTTGGTGGTAAATACCGAATTTCCGGCAACCCCTCGCATTCTTGGTTACATATCCCATGATATACAACAAAATCCTATCCTAACCTCCGGCAAGACAATAGGACGTCATGATCCAATACTTCCAACATCTTCCAACATAACAACTTAACTACTGCATATCATATAGTGTTCCTTTGATACCCCATGATATCCCATTCAATTATAATTATCAAAAAAAAAACGGACAGTTCCCCAGTTCCGGCCACTGCCCGCGCACCTTGCACCATGAGCCGCGCGGATTCCAGCGCCTCTCGTTCTCCCTGCAGCTCCCTGAGCAAAGCGTCGGATCCGCCAAGCGAGGGAAGAATCCGCTGCAGCAGCCCAGGACGCTCCCGTTCAACGATGGATGGGGCTTTGTAGCGACCTCGGCAAAACTGGAGGAACATGTTGATGTCTTTTTGTGTGTATAGCTTACTATGATATGCTAAACAGATCTAAACAGTAACAAGAATGACCAGAATATGTCAGGCAGTTGAGAAGTTAAGCCATGACTGAAGAGGTCAGTCAATGAATTGTCATATTTCCCAAAACCACATGAAACATATAGTCGTATTTGTTTTTGATTCAAAGGCTATATATACCCAGAATCCATTAGATGATCATGGATTATCGTGATTTTCCATCCAAAAAATGCTGCAGTACAAATTTACGTACGCCCCCATGTTCGGACAACCCCAAAATATTATCACATCATACTGTTGGTTCCTGTACAAATCCCATTAATAACCCATTTACATTTACATGCAGTTCTATCCCATTATATTATATACCATATTAGTTCATATTAATTATACCATATTAGTAGGCAAATAAGCCTTTTATATTTCCTTCTATAATCCTTATATCCCATTTATATATTTTTAGATCCAAACAATTATATCTCCATTCTCCTTGGCCAGGTTGCGCAGCATCAAGGACGACAAGACCACGGAGACCGAGGACATGGCCATCGCGCCGCCGGACACGAAGGGGGCCAAGGGTTGCCCGGTGAGCGCAAAGAAGAGGCCGGCGGCCAGCGGAATGCCAATGGCATTGTAGCCCAAGGAAAAGAGGAAGTTGAGCTGAATACCTATAGCCGCAGGATAGCGACTTATTTGACTTTGCTGAGGTGAATTCGATGGTTTGTGGGAGAAAATACTATATTATATAATCAATGTTGATATTTATTTTTAAAGTATGAAACTGAGAGGCAAATACCTGCATGATGATATTGAGCAATGGTTAAATAGATTGATGATCATTGATTGCAATTGATACGCGATTTGTTGGGGAACTCTACGGTGATATGATGGTTGAAGCCTGAATACCTCAAACAATCAGGTTTCCTGTGTGAAACTTTGCGAATACCTTAATGGATTATCATGGGTTGTGATTGCTTTGGGAAGATGGTTGAAAGCATGTATCTTACCATCAGAGTAAAATTGTTAAAAAAAAACAAAGTATCAGCTGGTAGTAGTCTATACATGTCTATACAATATATATATAATATGGGTCAACATTTTGTGAAAAAGTCATGCCCATAATCTCCATGTCAGGCCGGGATACGATGGAAGATGGCGCTTGAGAGGTGCAGTGCAATCACCACATCCGACAGCTGGGAGCGCACCAGGACCATATCAGCGGCTTCCATTGCGATCTCAGCACCTGCTCCAATGGCGATCCCCAAGTCTGCCTCATGAGGGATCTTTGCCGAATGTGCAAATGGTGAAGACACAGAGTAAATCTATATTTCTGTTGGGTAATTTCAAAACATGAATGTGGATTCGTTTATCTGGATTGACTTTCTACAATGTTTGACATTTTTTTTGGGAGGATTAAAAGGTGTAAGAAAAAAAACGTTCAATGCACGCCACGCAAAAACAATCAAAAACGAACCAATGGTGGCGATTCATTATTTCATTGCACTGGTTGGTTTGAACCAGCCTGGATTTGATAGAATCAAGTCCGGTCCTATTGCATGGGTTGACTCAAAGAGATAGCACCATCCTTTGTTTATACTGGAAGTGCACAAGACTTCAGCCTCCGTTGAACCTTGCCTGGGCAAGTGCTGGAGCGTCATTGACTCCATCCCCCACCATGGCCACAAATCGATGGACTTCAGTAGGAACTTCTCCATCCAACAGAGGCTCTCGACTCCGGAAGCAACAAATCTTCCGCAGCAGGCTGCAAAGGCCACGACGGGAGACGCTGGGAGCTGGGATACTTTGCAACTCCTTGACTTTCGCGGATTTGCCCGAGGGCAACACCTGGGGGTCGAGATTATTGCCCTTCCGCTTTCCGGTTCGCAATGACTTGTAGTCAAACAACCGGACGTCTTTGAGACCCCTAAGTTTGGAGTTGTGCCATGGACCTCGTTTGAATGCACAAGTTTCCTAAGTTGGATCACATTTGGCCTTCATGTGCCAGCAATCAATTTATATAGACCATGGGCACTTCTGAAAAAAGGGCACTCATAAACCTAAAACAATCACACTCCAAGACGTCTGAGCTCACCATCAAACCATTCAATTGTGTTTTTGGGCTCACAAATGCACCATACTCTTCAACCATCAGATTCGAATCACTCAAATCCTCTGCACACCATAATAATCCATAATCTTCAACCATCAGAATTTCATCAAGAATCACTTCATAAAACATACATATGGGGGGTTCCATAAATGGGGTACCCAATACCGGGATGGTTTATTTCATGGAAAATTCAACTAACATGGATGATTTGGGGGTAGCCCTATTCTAGGAAACCACCACATTGAAACATTCAAACCCTGAAAATTTCATCATTTTGATCGCCCACCTCTGCCACCACATTCTCTGGTTTGATACCCACCTGTCGGGCCACCGCGTGGGCGGTTCTCTGATTGTCGCCCGTGAGCATGTAGACCTCTGCCCACGAAGGTCTATAACAGAGTTTCCCATGCGAATGTCTACTGGAAACTGGAAACCATATGTTTTTCATGGATGATTTCATGTTTATGGTGCTTGCTTTCCCATTGAACCAATCCAGTGACTGGTAGCGTCTTGTCTTCCGGCATGCTTTCACTGACAGGATCTACCGTTTCTCGTGCTTCACCCGCATTTTGCTTGGCACTTGGCATTGAAAATTGAAACTTCCGTTGCAGACATCACTAATTAAAAAAAACATGCGTTCATATGTTTTTCCACCTTTGAAGTTTCACCCACCCCCATTGTCCTCAGTTTTAGATCTCTCAATGCTTGTTTCTTTCCTTTGATATCCTTTGATGCTTTGGGCCCCGATTTTCGGCTGAGCTCAAGGTGTTTTTTTCCCATGGGTGGCCTCATAAATCTTTTCAGATGGGGGTTTCCATACATGGGGGATCCCCAATAGCTGGATTGTTTATTTCATTGAAAATCCGAAAATAAAATGGATGATTTGGAGCAATTTTTGGAACACCCCCATATCCTTTCTATGGTTCTCAGACCTTCTCCGCCTAACTTGCATGAACAAATGCAATGATTTGCCATGGCAATCGCATGTCGCTTGTCTTTTCATTTGTTCAAATCCTCTCCACATCAAACATGTTCGTTGTAATTGAGTTCCATAGTATCCCCAACCATGGCAAACCAATTTACTGTAAATGGCAAGTCCATGCAAGTCCTATGGACGAAAATTGATTATATATATATAATAACTTAACCAACATCACGGTTTGGGTGTGGGTCAAATCCCACCTGGTTTAACAATATTTGGGGGTTGAACATTCAGCCATGCAGGTTTTCTTTTCCCGGATGGTGCTTCTTCTAAACGGTAGTTGAAATGGGGGAGGATGGAAAGACAGCCGGTTTTTGGCAATTTATATAAAAACATTGAATGTATGGACATATACGGCCAATTCCCAACTGAAATGCAATCTTACTATGCCCTTTGATATTTTAACACAGCCAGACGGAAAATCTCAACTTGTCGTGGGAAAATCTGACATCACCGAAGTGGGTAACAATTTTGAGATGTTAGATTTGTAGGGCAGCAATGACCAAATATTAGATATGTTATCCCAAATATAGATTAGACATTGTTGGTTAACCGGCCTTTCTTTGATGTTTCAATCCCTGCCCATCAAAGTTTGCCCATGTTCTCCTTCCTCACTGTTGATCATATCTTCATTGCTGGTTATTTACCATCACTAAATCCCGAGGACACCACCATTATATCCCCGTAAACAAATGTAAAGCCTATGTGTCAAATAGCGTGTTACATCCCACTAGTTGTCCAAATAAGTATATACTCGTCATCCCATCAAATATATAATATAACAAATGACATCCCTCCTCCCCCAAAAAATACTGTACAATCCTATATTCCATAAAACATACCAATGTAACGTGGGTAAAACAATAATAAACCATCACCAAAATCACCAAAATAGGTATAAACAATTCCCAGTCATGGGTGGTTTATGGCATATTGGTTTACCCACACATTATCCCAGAATATCCCATATATATATATATATTTCCATGTTCAAACATATAAAACATACCAACCCCCCAAAAAAAGATCTACAATCCATTATAATCCTATATATTCCATATAAACAAATCTACAAATCCCAATGTATCCCATATGTCCATGTTCAACAAAGGACACCCCGGCCTCGCGGCCCATGCGCTGCAGCGCCCGGATGCTCTGTGCGGCCTCCGACTTCACCGTGTCCGCCAGCGCCAGCAGCAGCACCGGGCGCTGGTCGATGGCCACGAAGATCACCGTCTTGCCGTCGTCCTCCAAGGCGTGCCTTGGCCACGGGGCAACGAAAGGAAGTGGTGACAACGGAGAACATAAACTATGTATAACATATATATATATATGTATACCCTAGGGGTCAAGGACTATTAAAAGAATAGGCCTGCACACAGGACCATTATTAGCATATGAAAAGCCATTGGGGGGAAATCGGCCTTTGCAAAGGACCATTATTAGCATATGAAAGCCATTTGCTGACCAAGGTTCATGAGACAAATCCCTCAAAATCATGAAATTTTACAAGAATTCGCCCCAACTTCATCAAACATCACATAATTTTGAAAGAATAAACCATCATTATTGTTTATTTATTTGTGGTATCCAGCGCAGTGACATCAGGATGATTATGAACAAACCATAAAATTCACACATTGACCTGACATGATATGATTACATCCAATTTGGTTTCTACTTGGTTGACCCTTCCATCCAATCCTACCCTGTGGATGGCTTTGCTTGGTGGGATCTGGCTGGCACTCTTGGCATCTACATTGGCCACGAGCGCCTTTGGCTGCAGATATGCTGCCAAATACTTCGAATCTGACATCTCCAGGTGGTAAACCCAAAAATAAATTCACCCAATCTTTTCTTTTAGATTTAGCCGAGCATTAATTCAAGGATTCCATTTCAATCTCATTTCAGCAAGGACAATGATCTTATAGATCATCACATTGAGTGGTAACCCATTTTTCAGACAGACCTAGGACCGACTGTGATGCAAATTGTTTTTTTTTTTTAAAAAAAAAATTGGGTTCACCAACACTCGTGGCATCATTCAAATGGCATTTTGTTATCAGGTGGTACATGCCACGTGAAGATGAAAAAAGCTTTGCGAAGAAGATGCAGCCTCAGTTTTTTCATCTTACTGCAATCCATTCAATAGAGGACTCGGAATCATGGAGCCAATTAGAACAAGTTTCATCTTATCTTAGTTAGCTTAGGACTGTTGGAAGATCAGAACCTGCTCCCGCACCCGCCGGAAGTTTTGAGAGGTGCCACCACCCTACCCAGCACTACCTCTGACATTCAGAGTGTGACATTCCAGTGATTTAATTTATGATGCAATTGATTCAACCATATTCAACCAACGAAACATATGACATGTACATTGATCAGGTTCAAGGATCACCTTTCTTGGGGGTTTCCCCGGCCCAAGAGCTGCCAGCGCTGCTTTTGGCGGTCGATGGCTGTGTCTCACGAAGACCGAGTGCAGCTCCTGAAGGTGTTTTGGTGGCAAGTTGGTGCAGGCCACTGGATGACACAATACAACACATGTTATCGATTGAAATATATTTTTTCTTTATCCCATACATAGACAGAAACCATGTATAGATATAGCCACTGAGGAATTCTACAAAGACATTCTTGAACAGGAGGACTACATAGCAAACCGTCGTTCCATGCTGAGACGCAGAGCTGGCCTGAAAGCACGAGATCCAACAGCAATTTGGCAATCTAAGTGTCAACCCATCTGTGAACACTGTTGTATTTTTTCCTTTGGCCAGAATGTCACAATGCACTGCCTTAAAAAAAAGATAGATTTTTGTGTTCAGGTACCTGTGTTTACCTTCGTCACACGCTTTGTCAAATCGGATGCCATCCAGGAAGTTGAGGCTGCACTGCCCCATGTTGTTCTGGGAAATCAGTTCACAGTTTTTTATACTTTTTGAAAAAATAAGCTCTGTTCAGCTTGGGCCAGGTTGATCCCAACAAGGATTTCCTCTTGGAATACATGGCTTCTTTCTGTGACAAAATTCCCACCGACGCAGAGACACAGGACTGATGTTTGTGTGATAGGACAGCTAAGCAACATATGATGGTGTGACTATGGTTGGGAAAGGCTGCTTCTTGGGCAGGCATCTTTGGGTGTGCAAATGTGGTTCAGGATGCTTTGGTCTGGGCAAGCCAGATTTACGGCCTCAACCCTCAGTTTAGCTCGGAAGCTGAGCACCGTGTGGCTCAGCTTCATTCATTACATTCCATGTGGATTAATTGCTGATCTCTAAGTTATGCATCAACCATCCGTTGAAGGGCTCAAACATATATTATAGATGCTGGTGAGTTTCCCATTGTGGGGTTCACCCTAAGGCTTGGGCAACAACTGAAGGTGGACTGCACCGAGCTTTTGCTGGCTACTGCATGGTCAGATTTCAAAAAACATCTCGGGCACGGTACTTTCCTCAGTAGTTCCACAGGAAAATGTTGTGATTTATTTTCTCCTTCCTTGACCACCTGTAAATCAAAGTTAAATATGATATTGACCAAGTAGTCTCCTCGTTGATATGGTGTTATGTTGATTCTTCATGATCATTGTAGTGGTTGATTCACAATAATGAATTTCCAGGTTGACTCTTAATTTATTATGGGCCCTTGGGTTTCCACCAAGGGGAGGGCACAAGGGGATGACACAGATCAAGTCCGTGATCAAGGCCAAACTTCAGGCCTGGTGGTAGGGTTTACCTTTGTTTCGAACCAACTAGAAGTGTGAAACAATTATTCTTGATATATGTCCAATCCCCATATATGTTGTAATTGTTGACCTCATTGTCATGTATGTTTTCATATGCATGTATAATTTCTATCCAATCCTGTCAGCCGGCACCTGGCCAGTCTTTGGGAATGCTGTCAGAGAAAGGGAAGAAGATCCCGACGCGGGGCCGAAATGCCCCAAAGCAGGAGCTTCACATGGGCATGGTTGGGGGTTTTCTGGCTATCCAAATGGTTTTTTCTAATGTTGAAAATTTTATGTTTATGCCTCGCACATTTGATACCTGCTATGCACATCACATGTGCATGCAATTTTTCAACACTGAAAGAGGTCTAAAACGAAACCCCTTTCTAAACTGTGCGCCAGGTACCAGCAGGACAAAGTCAGGTTTCTGACAAAGATGACAAGGACACAGAAAGTGAAGAACCTGAAGCAAGCGAAGAACCAGAAAGTGAGTCAATTGAAGAAGATGATGGGATGGTGAAAGAAGCAGTCGTCAACCCGGATGAGATGGACACACTTCCCATGAGTATCCCTTCGCCCGGGCCTTCGGTGTTTGAAGACCCCTTCCAAGACCACATCGAAGACCGGCAAAGGTTTCCGTCGGAAGAGTCCCAGCCCATGCAGATGGATGAAACACAGCAAGAGATGGAAGACGCAACTCAGCACTATGAGCCACCCAGTGAAGATGAGCAGGAGAAAGACACCCCGAAGCCAAAGAAGACGAAGAAGAAGCAGGATGAGAGGAAAGGTGAAAGTGAGGCTGCAGAATCTGAGGAGGAGAAGCCTGAGGAGAAGAAGGTTCCACCAAAGAAGGAGGAGGCTGCCAAACAGGAGAAGAAGAATGACCTCCTGAAGCCAAAGGAGAAGAAGAAGACAAAGGAGAAGAAAGAGGAAAGTGAGGCTGCAGAATCTGAGGAGGAAAAGCCTGAGGAGAAGATGTCCAAGCCGAAAGAGAAGGACACTACCAGACGCGAGAAGAAGGAAGACCACCCGAAGCCAGAGGAGAAGAAGAAGCAGGATGAGAAGAAAGGTGAAAGTGAGGCTGCAGAATCTGAGGAGGAACAGCCTGAAGAGAAGAAAACTCAGCCAAAGAAGGAGGACACTGCCAAACATGAGAAGAAGAACAACCCCCCGAAGCCAAAGGAGAAGAAGAAGAAGAAAGAGGAAAGTGAGGCTGCAGAATCTGAGGAGGAAAAGCTTGAGGAGAAGATGTCCAAGCCGAAAGAGAAGGACACTACCAGACGCGAGAAGAAGGAGAAGGAAGACCCCCCTGAACCGAAGGAAAAGAAGAAGAAGAAGCAGCGTGAGAAGAAAGAGGAAAGTGAGGCTACAGAATCTGAGGAGGAGAAGCATGAGAAGAAGAAGAGTCAGGCGACAGAGAAGGACACTGCCAAACGTGAGAAGAAGGAGAAGGAAGACCCCCCGGAACCGAAGGAAAAGAAGAAGAAGAAGCATGGTGAGAAGAAAGAGGAAAGTGAGGCTGCAGAATCTGAGGAGGAGAAGCATGAGGAGGAGAAGAGTCAGCCGACAAAGAAGGACACTGCCAAACGTGAGAAGAGGGAGAAGGAAGACCCCCCTGAACCGAACGAAAAGAAGAAGGAGAAGCAGGATGAGAAAAAAGAGGAAAGTGAGGCTGCAGAATCTGAGGAGGAGAAGCATGAGGAGGAGAAGATGTCCAAGCCGAAAGAGAAGGACACTACCAGACGTGAGAAGAAGGAGAAGGAAGACCCCCTGGAACCGAAGGAAAAGAAGAAGAAGAAGCAAGGTGAGAAGAAAGAGAAAAGTGAGGCTGCAGAAACTGAGGAGGAGAAGCATGAGAAGAAGAAGAGTCAGGCGACAGAGAAGGACACTGCCAAACGTGAGAAGAAGGAGAAGGAAGACCCCCCTGAACCGAAGGAAAAGAAGAAGAAGAAGAAGCAGGGTGAGAAGAAAGAGGAAAGTGAGGCTGCAGAATCTGAGGAGGAGAAGCATGAGAAGAAGAAGAGTCAGGCGACAGAGAAGGACACTGCCAAACGTGAGAAGAAGGAGAAGGAAGACCCCCCGGAACCGAAGGAAAAGAAGAAGAAGAAGCATGGTGAGAAGAAAGAGGAAAGTGAGGCTGCAGAATCTGAGGAGGAGAAGCATGAGAAGAAGAAGAGTCAGGCGACAGAGAAGGACACTGCCAAACGTGAGAAGAAGGAGAAGGAAGACCCCCCGGAACCGAAGGAAAAGAAGAAGAAGAAGCAGGGTGAGAAGAAAGAGGAAAGTGAGGCTGCAGAGTCTGAGGAGGATAAGCATGAGAAGAAGAAGAAGAGTCAGCCGACAAAGAAAGACACTGCCAAATGTGAGAAGAAGGAGAAGGAAGACCCCCCTGAACCGAACGAAAAGAAGAAGAAGAGGAAGCAGGGTGAGAAGAAAGAGGAAAGTGAGGCTGCAGAATCTGAGGAGGAGAAGCATGAGGAGAAGAAGAGTCAGCCGACAAAGAAGGACACTGCCAAACGTGAGAAGAGGGAGAAGGAAGACCCCCCTGAACCGAAGGAAAAGAAGAAAAAGCAGTATGAGAAGAAGGAGGAAAGTGCTGAGCCGAAGGATGACACCGCCAAACACAAGAAGAAGGAAGACCCCCAGCAACAAATGAAGAAAGCACAAAGTGTTGTGTTTGAGCTAGACAGTAGTGACGATGATGCTGGTGAAAAGTGCGCAGCTTTCATGGATGACCAGGGGAAGCCACTCATAGAAGTTGAGCTGATGCCTAGCAAAGAGCAGGAAGACAAATCCAACAAGCTCAAAGAAGAGATCAGGAAAACACACAAGGCTCTTTCCTTCACTACAAATGATGACATTGTCAATGCCCAGAGGAAGATGAAGAGACTCAAGGCAACGGAGGAGTTGGGGTCAGAAGAGGATGACGATGACAAGCTCCTTATGGATGCAGCAGAGGAGTCTGATGATAATCGCAAAGGACGAGGACGTGGCAGAGGCAAAGGAAGGGGCAAAGGGAAAGGAAAGAAGCGCAAAGATGAAGGCAAAGCTGAGCAAGATGAAGGGGACGACCCTACAGTCCGAGGCAGCACTGAGAGCCAAGAAGGATGCAGAAAGAAGGAACAAAAGATCCAACCAGAAGAATCCGAAGGTGCTTCAGAGCCCAGCAAGAAGAGAAAGTCTAAGGAGACAAAGGCAAAAAGTGCTGAGGAGGCTGCAGAAAAGGACGAAGAAAAGGAAGAGGCAGAAGAAGACACCCCGAAACCCAAAAAGAAAAAATCAGCTGCAAAGTCAAGTCCCATGCAGGTGGCCTTCAAGGCTGCACAGCGGGCTGTGGATAAAAAAAGTTCGGTCAAACGTAAACTGGATTTTGATGAGAGTGGAGAGAACGCTGATTCCACGACAGAGAAGCCCCCGAAAAGGACGCATGAAATCTCAGACACTCAGCATATTTTTGGTGTAGTTTTTAAAAGATTAAACACAATTTCTGGGCATGCCATTCCTTGGTATGCATGCACAATTGTGACATTGCAAGTACTGTCAATGCCAAAAGCTTCAAGAACAAACAGATAGGAGTACATTATTCATTTGATCTTATTCTAATTCACTATAAATTATTATATAAGAGATCTCACTTTCCATTTCAGAACCCATGTGCTGTGTATCCAATCTTTCCAACTGTTGTGTATCCAATCTACCCAACTGTTGTGTAGTTGATTGTTTTGTTTGTTTGATGCGATGTTCGTAAGCATGTGTTTACGAAACTACCCCAGCGTATATACCATGTATATGCATGTCATCTTAGGAGCGAGGACTTCGGGATGCTGCTTTGGTGGCACGATCTGATCGTGAGCTTTTCCTGCCGCCCCTGGAAGTTCAGAGAGCAATGGATGATGTCGAAAAGGGCAGGGTTCCCTTCCACATACCCACTCAGAAGTAGGGGACCCAGTGGTTTGGAACCTGCATATATAGTGCGTGTATAATTGCAAATATTGTGCATGTCATGTCATTTAGACCGATCGATATCTCCTATACCAATCATCGATGCGTCTACATGATAATTATATGGGTGAGATCATCCTCCAATCAAATCACCGCTGGTCAGGACCTTTACCTTGAAGTTGCCTGAGAACTACACTGCTGCTGCTCCAGGAAAGCCAAGTACAATTGGTGTCTTGTTGCTTGGTTCAGGGTGCCTGTGGTATTTGATGATTTCGGGACACCCTCAATATGTCGTTTCAAAATTCCCCCATTTGGAACAGTCACTGATCTAAGGCTGAACACTCGAACCTTCTTTGCTGGCCCTGTTCCAGTGGCACGCATTGAGAAAGTGAATAGACTCATGAATATGTGCTTGAATGCTACTTGACTTTACAGTGCTGGTTTCCTTTCAACTACTAGCTGGCCAATTTGTGTGTTAAGATCGCAAACGCATGGTACTGCATCGCATAGCTGCTTCTTAGGTGAATGTGAAGAAAGGTGTCAGCATTTCCTGGACGAAATATGGTGTCGTGAAAGCGCCATGGGCTTACGCTGTCTGTAGCTTTTTTTCACATTGTTTGAAATTTTGATGCATGTTTAGAAGACAAAACAAGTTGTATTTCTAGCTAACCAACACCATACATGTTGTTAAAGGTTTACCCAAAAACAAACCTAGGTGGCTTATTGCCAAACGCCTGGCTGGATGGGAGATCTTTGATGAGCAAACGATGGCACCAGATTCTTCAGAATCTGATTGACTGCACAACAGTTAGATTGCGGCGTGAGCGTTTTTGGCTGATCGGGTTCTAGCGACTAGACTTGCTGGCGTAGAGGGTATACATGCAGGGTTATGGTGGTTTACTTGAATCAACACTGATTCGATTCGTATTAAAAACCATTTGCCTATTTGGATTTCCAGAACTTATTTGTTTAGTATTGTCTACTTTTCCACCGGGGTTGCAATGGTATGCCCTGGCTAGCCTTGGTCTTTACCATCCTGTGCTGGATGCTGACAAGTATCACATATACACCAGGGAAACAAACGTGGAAAAAAGCCCGGTCTGGTTAAAGTTTTGATTTTCATTTGACAAAGTACATATTTTGCTCACACATTGTTGGTGCAAAGGCATGCTCCAAGTCAATCGAAGATTCCGTAAACAAATGATTTTGCAGCTTTTGGGATAGCCGTGAACTAGAAAGGGTTTGGTGCCATGCCCCAGAGACCAGCCCATCGGGCCCATCCAGTGTCTCCTCTCGCTCTGAGCGCTCGAGCAGCCCAACTTCTGCTTATCCTTGGAGGTCCGGGCATCTTACCATTGCTCCATGGTTGCACTAATATTCTTAAGGGGGTTGATGAAGCCAATCCACAAACTTGTGTTTGGAAAAAATGCTGTAGTGTTCTTGTGGGACACAGATCGATTTAAGAGTGGCAATCCTGTAGTGACACCTGCTTGTTGAAGCAAATTGCACTGTTGATTCTTGAAGTTTATTTTCCAAAGTCTTCACTGTCGCTCCAAGTCTACATTGTGTGGACTATGTGGTGGAGAATAGCTCACATGATCAAAGTGTTCGGGTTTTGAACTCAGTTTGGATTCTCGACCATGAAAAATTGAATTTACAAACAGCGCAGCTACCATTTTGGGGAATATCGGCACATGCACACACAGGTCAACCCCCAGACATATTATCGATCCTTCCCAGGAGACTATCAATGGCGATCTCTTTGCAGGTCGTGGTGCCATCAATCGAGCGTTTAGTGAAAGTCTCAGGGGGGATGCTTTCAACATTTTAAACGTGGAAACATTGGGCTGTACTGGCTGAATTAGTTTCCTGCCGATGGGCTGAGTTGAAGATGGTCTGAAATCGTACTGGTCTTACCTGCTTCGATTTCAGTTCAGAAGAACTCATGAATGAACCTATATGAGCCATCAGCTGTAATTTTATACATGCCGACTTTAGGTTGTGCTTCGTTTGCTTTCATAAACTTACTTCCCAGGAAAGCCATTGACAAAGAGACTTCGGGAAACTTTGGTGACATTACCACCACGCCAACACCTTAGATCTGGGTGGATCAAAAGTCAACAACTGTTGTTGAATTTTGAAATTGACTTGTTCCTCAAGTGCCTCAACCCACAAAAATCTTGAAGCGTAGATGATAAAAGTCATGCTCCATTCTAAAAACACTTCAATCAAAAGTGCTGAGAAGGGGTGAGGTTTTGATGCACCCTTTTGCCCAGCCACCATTTCACCCCATCTGCATCGGCGTACTGAGGGAAGGATTCTTGCGATCCATCCAGCTTGTCCTCCAGGTCAAGGAAGGGGGGCTGATCACAGCAGGTCCTCCCTGCGGGAGTTTCATATTTTTGAATATGTTCACTTCTGGGAGAACAAAGTGGTCACCACTGGGCAACAAGAGAGGCTATGTGGTGGAAGCGAACGTGATGTTTGCCTGAATTAACATGGTTTTACTTTTCCAAGATTGTGTGGGTTTTAGAGTCCAATCATGTCCCAAATGCAAGATGCCGGGGGAAAAACATCTAGTCCATGACAAGGTTACCAAATGTGAAAAAGTTCTGTTTGTTAGTAGCAGGTGTGGCTACGGCTAGGGTATACATGGTATATGTGAGCCAGTTTCAAACCTGGAGTCTGCACTAAGGATAACAACACGACTATGCCTCTTACTCTTATTGGCATTTGTTCGATTGGTGCTGATAGCAGTGGAGCAACCTCTCAGCACATTGATGCAAGAGTTCCCATATTTCAAATGGCTGGCCGGCATTGTGAAGCACTTCATTCCATGGCTCTCAACGTCATTGTTCTTCCCTCAGTGTTTATGCAAATGTTCTACCTGCTATCATGTTTGATCGTGTCACAAGCATCATTGCTATCCACCTTTACCCCCACCTGATTGCTTCTGTGGCCTCTGAGTAGTATGGCGATCTTTGGCCATGCAAACATGAAGCCAACGGTGGTATTTGGAGATTGGTTTGGCCCTTAATTGTCCACATTCAAGATTACAATTAGTGGGTATATGTTCATTTCAATTCCAATAATGTCTGCTGAGTCCTTGGTCCTACCGCTTGTACAAGAAGGTTACACCAGCTATCCGAAAACGGGTGAAGAAGTCCAAGAAGACTGTTCGCAAATATTCCAAAAATGGCCGAACCAGAGTGTGGTAAGCTTAGTCGCAAAATAGCTCAGGATTGGATTGTTGAATTCCAACTGTTTAGTTCGATACCATCCTAGCTGCAAACCATGTATATTATGCAGAATCCCAATCATGATAAGAAAACATGTCCAGTTATGGGGAGCCCAGGAGTGGAATTGCTTCAGTGCTTCGCAAGTCACAAGTGTACCCGATTGGGTTTGGGCGTGCAGTCCGAGACCACCATATGAAATGGATGGCCCTATGGTTGCAAAGTGGATTGGGGGCTGGCAATTACTGAAGGTTGTGAAAAGTGCTGGCTTGTTTACAAGATATATGGAAGTGCTCAATCTATTTTAAAAAAACTTTGCAATTTAATTTGTGAATGCTCAGCTGTTTCCCATTGGTAGGGGGTCAGAGTATAGTTTTTGTAGGCCAATCAACTTACAATTCCTTTGGCCCTTTCCCCAGGATGTGAAAACATTCCAACTTTCAAAGCAAATGCTGTTGGTAAACTTAGTTTGAATTTTCCCCATAAGCCACAAGACATGTCCAAATCGGTTTGCCCTCTCCTTGCCGCAGAAATCACCGGGCAGCGTGGAGACGATTCGTCGGGCTCTCTATCGGCCTGAAGGTGGTTTGAACATCGACCCAAGCTGGAAGCCCATGAAGGTTGGGAGATGTTGGAAGTTGGGAGTGTTCTTTCCTTGGGGTTTCTATGGTCCCAAACAAAATTCCTAAAAGTAGAATTCAGCAACCTATGTCAGAAAATAGTTCAGGGATGGATGGGTTTGTGGTTTTGGGGACTCACTGTGGTCAATGTGCATTTTCTTTTCGATGGTGGGTGGATGCATACAGGTAAGGATAAATCTTGGAAATTGTCGACCCCAATTGTGTAATTTATAGTCTCTCAATTCCCACAAATACATTTTTCTCTAGTCGTAGTGCTATAGCCTATATAGGCCTTGGGGCTATGATCTACCACAAATTCTACTTTAAACTATACTGTTTGATTTTTTCTTTGCGGCTGGGAGGCCCCATATCGGTGGCGTCATGCTCGTCTCTCAGAGCTGACGGACTTTCTCAATAGTGAGAAGAAAGCGGGACGTTATCACCCATTGATTCAAGAAGGCCTTGATTGAAACAAATCAAATCATGGCCCTGGCTTTTACTGCCAATTAAAGATATCCACCCTGGGCTGATAAATGAAATATCTTAAACCAACCATAACTCTACCACTACTCCAACAAAGCCTGTTTTTTCTGGGTTGGCCTACAGGGTGCCCCTTGTACAATTCGCATCGTGCTGAATCCAGTCATGTGAAAAATAAACCTTCGAGTCAGGAAGTTGCTGGTGGATGTTGGTGGATGTTCTGTCTGAAATAATGGGTTTTCACGGAAAATAATAGGCTTTCACGGTTAAGTTCACATCACAATTGAATTCATCCAAAACAGAATGATTTCGCTACTTTTTAACATAATTCACAAAAAGTGGTAGCGTGAAATTAGCGTGAATGAGCGTGAAATGAGCGTGAAAGCCTATTATTAGCCGTGAAAGCCCATTATTATCCGTGAAAGCCATTACCCCCAAAATACCCCAAAATCCAGTGTTTTGTGATATTTCTGTTTCAAAAAAAGAAATCACCCTGCCGCTAGCGCTTTGGTGTGGCTCTGGTGTGTTACTAGGGGACTAGCTCCATGGAGGAGTCAGCTGTGCAGAAATTGTTGGAAAAGGCAGCCCGCAGGGCAGAGCGGGCAGCTGTCATGGATACATGTCCTCCACAAGATGATGAACCGAATGTGGGAAGGACTGATTTTGTGGGTATTACCCATCATGGCTTACCCATGTAGGGAAAACAACTTATACTTGTTTGGTTGGGGCATGGCACCATTGGGTGAGAAAAAAACATCCTCCTGGATCCCCCCTGTAATTGTTTTGATAGCTGTGTGCGGCTAAGAATATAATTATATGATTTACAAATTATATATATTATATCAGGGATCTGTGCAGTTGTGTGACCATCCCCAAAAATATTTCAAATTAGAAACCATTCTAGCCTCAGCTTTCGATTGGGTCATGCCCCTGTGTTTCGACTTGTTTGGAAGGACACAGCAAGTTTCTCAAGATGGGAAAAGTCGAAAGGTTCGAAGGATGATGCCACTGGAAGCAGGCCCGGTATGGTTGTGGGGAGGGTTGATCAAAAAATATCCTATATTCATTTCTTTGGATGATTCTCCCACAAAGAAAAAAATGTCAAGTGTATAGGGGTAAGTTTCAAGTTTATAGCACATGTGATAATCAAGCCATACTTCCCTCTGATGCAATCTTCTGAGCCCACCCACAGTTCTGGTGGATATATACCCTTGTATATGTGGCATCTATTATTCTGAAATTAGATGAAACTAGGTTTTCCCATTGGGATGAGGTTATAAGGTGTTGGTTTGTGACGTGTTGGCCCCATCCCAAAACACGGTTTCAAAACTGCAAAAGGAATGAGATTTCTCTCATTTGGTGGATGGCCCAAACAATCTTTCCTGCAGAACGTTTATTATGTGCACATAAGTTCGATCATATGAGCAATTTTCATTCTGGAAGTAAATTATGGTAGCCCTCAGCCACCTTCTTTTTGATGTTGGGTGTAGTTACTTGGGGGAACAATGGGGAACATAAAATTATATAGTTTTGGCTACCAGTGTACTTCCCAACCCAACCTTGCAGTCAAGACACGTGCAGAAGGATCATCAATAACAGGTTTTGGCCAGATCTGTCCTGCCTGCCCAGTGGCCACATGGGTTGCACCCAGATGGGAAGCAAATTTGTGTTTATAACGTACGTACGTACATGGTTGATGGAATTCGGTCTTAGAGGTACGAAAATTAGACCATGTGGCTGGCAAACACAATGACTGTTGGTGTGGTGTCCCAAACCTTTTTACCAAAAAAACATGATCACAGCAGCCACTGAACTCTTTTGGATGTGTTACACCGGGTTTTGCCGCCAGATTCTGATGCATCTACTGTGCCAGCTTCAGAGACTGAAATCCAACAGAAACTTGCACTGTCAAAGAAGCAAGTGGAGCCAGAGACAGACAACTCCAACAAGACTGACAGCCAGAGGCCAAAGCTCCCCCAGAGGATCCAAAGCAAAGAACTTTTGAAAGACGAGGCAACATCACCGAACCAAAGTCAAGGCAATCCAGGTGTCAGAACTCAGGCAACAGCAGTGAAAGCAAAAGCCCAACCAAAGGTGGTTTTCAAAGAAGAGACTGAGACTACTGCCCACGCAGTGGCGCAATGCCTTGCCAGGAAATCCACAGCCGAGCTCAACGGTGGCAGTTCTGGTGGTCCATCTCCAGCAGGATCAGCAGATCAAGAACAGGACGCAAGTGACTCAGAATCAGAGGTTAACAGCGATGTGGAGTCCGAAGAGTATGAGCGAAAGGAAGCGCTTGTGAAGGCCAAAAAAGCTGCACACGCGCGCTATATGCGCTTTAGCAGGAGCTTGACAAGTGTCTTGGATGTCAAGATATGGAGGGACAGTGACGATGACAAAAGCACATCAACAACTGAATTTTTAAGCAATCATTGATTGACACATGTTTGGCCATTTGCCCAAGATGTCCTATTCAACGTGAGGACCTCTTCCAAAGAAAATATTGTTCAGTGTGGGATGTGGTATTTGGTTTTGAAAAAATATGCGCACTGTAAAATACAAAAAGGCAACAATGGTCGCTTGACATTGGCAGTCCCATCAGGTCCCATCAAGGCAATTGCTGAAGATATCCCTCTATAGGCCTATAGGCCCAATATATCCCTCATAATAAACTAATTAAAGCCTGCCTATGTCCAAATAGGTCTTGCTCTCCCAACATCTGTTTTGCAGTAGTGCCTAGTTAGCCAACCGGCCCCAGCCAAGGCAAACGAACACCTATCGAGGTACGCCGGGCAGGGGCCGCGGCAAAGAATGATTCCCCAAAGTTACAAATGCTACAGGAGCAGTGGGCCAGTTGCAAGGGCATATGGAGCCAAAGTGACTTTGTCATCCGTTTGCGACAGAAGACCCGCCAACGCCAGTATGGCGCCAGACGCTGGATGACGCGTCAGGAGTTGATCTGCAAGTACTCAAGCTGTGCTATCGCAGACAAAATCATAGCAGCCAAGCAGGGAGACAAAGAAGCAAAAAAAACCCAGATAAGGAGCCACCCTGACCTTCACGGGGATGACTCGGACGATTCTCGCACGCACATGTCATGTAGTGTGCTTGTAGATATGCATAGAGTGTATAGAGTACATATTACATATAGCAGTGTGCCACATGTGTTCCTGATACTGTTAACAAACTGTTTTCCCAGTTCAACATGGAATATATAATTACTAAAAATTATCAACTAGGCCCTTGCCCAACCATGGTTCCAAACTGCGCTGCTGAGGACACCAGGCAATATCTTGTTTGGGACAAAGAAGGCTCTGAAAACACCACAGACCATGTCTGCTCTGAATTGTTCACAGCCGCTGAGAAGGGGGATGACCCCCTTGAGACTCGCAGGGGTCGTTCTAGGAAGAGGAAGGACAAGAAAGGTCGCAAGAGCAACAAGAAGAAAAGAAAGGGTTCTACTTCTTCGACCAGGTCCAGTTCAAGCTCATCATCTTCACAGGAAAAGGTGGATTCAAGTTCTTCAAGCTCGGAGGCTATATGGGCTCCATTGTTCATCCAACCCTGGGGAAATCTTTACAACCAAGTCAAATTGATTTGGATATAGATGGATCCAGTACCTCAATCATAAGAAACCACCTGGATCAAACAGCTTTGGACCATGAACCATTACCATTGCCATGTATGATTGGAGGCAGCAAAGAAAAAGAAGAAGGGCAAGAGCAAGACTGGTAAGACCAAATCAAAAAACGGTAAGGCTTCCAAGACGGCTGCCAAGGCCAAAGGAAAGAAAGACAAGAAGGACAAAGACAAGGACAAGGACAAGGACAAGAAAAAGCCAAAGGAGGTGATCTCATCTGACAGTTCAGATGAAAGTGAAGAGCCAGAAGAGACAGAGGAAAAAAAGCAGAAGCGATTGGCGAAGGAAGCTGAGGCACAAAAAAAGAAGGAGGCAAAGGATGCAGAACAAGCGAAGAAAAAGGCTGAACGTGAGAAGAACCAAGAATTGAAGAAAGAACAAAAGAAAGGCACACAGGTTGGCTCTGCCAATGTCGATCTGTTGGGTGTGGCTAATATGCGATAGGTAAACTGATGTAAGCTGTACATCCACAAAGGTTTATCCATACTCATTGCTGTGTTTGGTGAAATGGATCCCAAATGCAGGCACACATGCATGCATGCACCATGCATACATACTGACCTACTACCAATTGTTTGACACATACATTATATGCCTCTAGAAGGCATGAAACTTTGTTTCTTACCATGAAAAAATTGTCCATCCCCTTATGTTGAGAAATTACCAAATTTTAAGGGAGTAATTTTTGGCAATGGGCTAAAACCATGTTATCATGTTCTAAACAATTCTATCTTTTGGGATACGACCAGCAATGACTGTTGGGAGGCCTTGTCGAAGCTTGGTGCCAACATCTTGAAGGCAGCTGGCTTGGATGAGAAGTTGGAGAGCATGAACCTTGGACCAGGCTGTGGCTGGCAAAAACTGGACCAGCACATGTTGGGTCGTAATTATCCTCCCAGGCTTGCCCGACCCCAAATTGCATTGTGGGATGTTGTCCTCTTTGTTTGTAAGGTTGACCTTTCAACAAATATCTTTGTCGCTGGCATATATTTTCAAGGATGCCCCTAGCTAGTGGTAGTGGTGGTCACAAGTAGAAGACAACAGTAGATGCATTCAAACAAATTCAGCTTCAGACATCCATCATCACAAAAAAAAAATGCGTTTTAGTTTGAAACACAGAAATGGTTCCCTGAACGGCATCCTTCTTGCCCCCATGATATTACTTGGGGATACTTGGGGAATCGCTGAGGAGCAAGTCTGTGAAAGATGCTATTTTGATGGAGGTCAAACCCCATCTCGACAAATTGCGCTCTACAAGAAGGTCTTTGCAGAATGCCGTGGACTCTGCCCAGGCTAGGTTCTGGGTGTTGGCCACCATCTTATTGATTATCAACGGACATAAGTAGCATGGTAAATTCACCCATAGTTTAGGATAAAAACGCTATTGCCTGTTAACCTCTTAGTGGAACTGCACCCCCAAGTATGTACCTGGACACGAAAGCTTGCAGGCATAGCTGCCTGTTTCCCACTGGTTAGTTTGGTGGTGGAAAACCGTTTAAACCAACATTTTCCCAATGATCCATTACGTTATAATTTTGAGAGGACTTCCTGTATGGCAATTTGCCTTAAACAGACCCATGATTGTTTGTTGCACCTAGGATATCAAAATTCAAACTCTCTCACCATCATCACCACTACATGCAGAACAAACCAATTTTGGTAGATAGCTTGGGTCTCGGAACCTGATTGCGCAATGCTTGCACGAGGTCGGAAACTTGGGATCTATGCACAGCTTGATTGCCAAAGCTGACAGCGTCAATGCGGACTTTGTGACGTTTCTCTCTGCCTACAACATCAAGTGAGGTTGATGTTTCTCAATGTTCATGACTTTGGTCTGATGCGTGCATACATGCATCTTAGAAACCATGGTCACCAGAAGTGGAATCATAGATGTCCACCAATATGGGTTCTCCTGGGCAAACAGTGGCACTGGCACCAGCCAAAGCAGTTGCGAGACATGAACGATCTCACAGACACTTCTGAAGTAGTGATACAAATTATTCAACATCAATATGGTTGCTATTGTTTAAAGGTAATATAGCTAGTACAGTTTACACAGTAACCTCTGTAATGGACATGCCAGGTCTGCTGCGTTTTGTCGCTTGCCACAAGGATGGCCAGGTTTCTTTTCTTTGGGGATATGCGAGATGCAGTGTTCAAGGAAAAAAGGCACAAGGCGTAGAATCTTCGAAATGTTGGATCGCTGGTTTATTCAATCTTTCCCTTTTGAACATGTCCCAATGGTTACTGTTTGTGTCCCCTGCGCAGATTGCCGTTCTGACAGTGTAGCACGAGTGCCAGCTGCTTTACAAGGGCACTATGATGATGTTGCTGCTGGTGTTACTTGGTCATGTTTGATCGAAGAGTGTTAAATTTGTTTTGTGTTTCACCTTATCGTATGTATAATATGATTTGAACTGGTGGGAAAGCCAACCAAATTTATTAACACATCAGGGACCTTCGTAAAGAACATGGGGGCCAGGGCTATACGAGAATCATCCCTTCCGCCCCCAACTTGGCTGCTAGGTATCCTCTGTGAAGCGGGTGATGCGACGCGTTCGAGACCACGTCCAAGATCCTGGGCAAGGGACGTTGTTGCCGACCCATGGTTGGAGCCAGACCTGTTATCCCTGAAACAGGACACTAGTTTTTGGGGGGGAACCACTTTACAAATATTAACTGAAATATCTGATCTATCGATCTAAAGTACGTATCCTTTATGGTCTTATCTAAGCCTGTGGCCCCTCATCAGCCAGGTTTGTGTGAGTTTCCACATTGGATTGCCACCTATGATGTTGTTCTATAGGCCACCTGTGCTTATTAAATGCGATCCGGCCTGATATAGAAACACTATTACACACAGTTTCCATGACTTGCAACCACTAGTTTAAAAATATTCATGGGTCGTATAAAACCTATGTTCCGACTTCAGGCAATGCCCACAAACACAAATACCTATAGGTGTCATTTTTGGGATCCTGCTGGGGACAACCAGACTTTGGTAAATGCCCCAAAGGTCGATTTGATCACCAAAATACAGACTCGACACTTGATGTGATTCACCCAATTCCTGCATGACATTGGCTCAGGAAAGCGGACCTGCATCAGTTCATCAACACACATTTGCACTTGCTTCTAAATCTGGCAAGAACGATGTTCCAGCAGATATCCCTGTGGCCTCTAGCCAACCAAAAGAGTTATTCATTTGTTTGTTTTACACGTGTTTATTATTTTGTTTGGTTTATTCAAAGTTTGAGGCCCAAAAAGATTCTAATTCCAGTGCGGTTTTAACATCGAAACAATGGTAAATTGGTTCAAATCCACTGCAATGATTGGGGTTAGCTAAAATATGCTAAAATTGTTTGTGATGTATACTGCTGCAAGCCAACTAGACCTTTGTCCAATATCCCCCAATGGGAACTTTATTGTGGGTATCCAGGGTTCCAGGGTCGAGGGTTGGTCAAACATGGTCAAACATGGTCAAACATCAATCCATGGTTTCAGCTGCGCGCCCAGGAGATTGAGGAGGTGCGGGTCCCTGTGTTTAACCCAAAGCTACCTGGTAAGGTCTCTGTGGAACTGTACCCTATGGTCTACCCACACAGAATTTTAGCCTATCTTTTCAACGAAGTGGAGCTGGAGATGCCTAGTTGTGACGTCCAGACATTCTGGAACCATTCGCGCACCTTGGGTGAACCGTGGGCATGTGCTCACCCTGCCACAGAGTGGCATGTGCCAGTAGGGTTGCATGGGGACGGAGCAAAGCTTTGGACTCAATACCGTGTAGAAAAATATGTTGCTGTGTGGCTAAATCTGCCACTGTTTAGACCGAGATCGATCCGTCACAGCCGATTCTTGCTTTTTTCGATGCCAAAACACAAAATGGTGAAGAACCGGTCCCTCAATGTGTTCTGGCGCAAAGTATGTTGGTCTTTAAACGCAGCCTTCACTGGACAGAACCCTTCTGTCGGGCCAGGCGGCCTACCTTTAGCCGGAGAACATCTTGAAAGGGCAGGACATCCAATTTGCAAGTCCGAACGGAAGTTTGCTTTGACAGAGCTGCGTGGTGATTGGGAGTGGCATCGGGACATTTGGAGGTTCTGTGCCAGTTGGCAAAGCCAAGTGATATGTTTCCGATGCCCTGCCCTAACTCGGGGCAATTGGCCATACGTATATTACAACAACTCCTCGACGTGCCGCTGGGACCAAGAAGAGTTCAGTTTGAACCAATTTGTGGCCCGCCGCCTGAAAGAGAGGCAACTTTGTGCCTTGTATCTTATTGGGAATGGTTTTTCAGTATCCCAAGTTACCCTGTTAAAGTGTTTTGATGTTCTATTATCCTGATATTCAGGGATCTGATTCCCCCATAAGAATCAACCACCATCAACCACCTTTCTCTCTACAGCTTGTGCCACAGAATGAGGCCCTTTACTGAACATTCAGGGATTCCATCCCGGGCTCCTACGTTTCTGTTCCATGCATGCTCTGAACTTGGGCCTACTCTTTGTTTGCAACGCTGGTGGTCTGACATTTGGTTGCAGCCAGATTTTTTGAAGCCAAGTTTCCAAACCCACATCATCATCAGCACAATGCAGCAAACGAAGCCAGAGTACATAGTAGTCCCCACAGCAGCTCCGCAATCCTGTGTCCAACACACCATTTCAGCCAAGGCTTCTTCTTTGTGAAGATCTTCAATACTTCGGCCCTGGTAGCTTATCAGGCCAAATGGATGTTGCCTACAAGGATTTTCTGGCGTTTTGCTCTGCCAGAAAAATTTATCATTCGCAACCGCCCTTTGTTCCAAAGATGGTGGCATGGCTCTCATACAATTTTATTCGGAAGAACTGAAAGTTGCCTTTTTTTTGCCCAAGTTATGATGGTAGTTTCAACCCCTGGAAATACTACTACAGTGGGTTACTTGGTTTGGGAAACCCTCGAACAGCCCAAGTGTGTATGTTACACCCTCCCTAAATCCCATTGTAAATAATAACAATCACCTTTATTCCATACCCAATCTCCTAAGGTGAAGAAGAAAAACGGCGACGAACTTTTCACTGCCAAGGCCTACAATGGAAGGGTGATTCTGAGCTGGCTGAGTCATACTCTATTACTGGCATTGCAGCACCACCCAAATCATGAGATTCTTCTTCTTACCAGTTCTGCAATGAAGCTTGGGTGGGTATTTAATTGCCTTCAAATTCAATCGTTGGCCCCCCGAAGTTTTCTTGGGGAAATTAGGTGGGCATGATCATGGCATTTTACTATGTTGATGACCGACCCTTACTGCTTGATTTCCTTCTTGAGTCAACTTACAACCCAGTATAATATATTCCCTGGTGGATAACAGTGGGACTCGATAAGGAAACCTTAATCTAAGTTGTTTGGGACTCCAAAAGGCTTTGTCCGACAGAACTTCCTTTGTCGAACTCCAGCAATATCCACCCAAGAATATAGGAAACACATCGGGAAATCACATCAATATTTTTTTAGAACCAATGTTTCTTTCAAAAAATATCATACCTGTGAACACATCATACCCATGTGTTGGATGGTGAAGATCCACAGCATGTCCACTTCCCAGTCAGACGTGTCCTCCCAAGGAGCGATATGGTGAAATGGTTCAGGATCAGCGAAAGCCATGGCCGCTATTTGTGGCATGGTGACAGTTCTGGGCTGGGATTGGCCCCATACCCAAAACAACAAGAAGCCTATCCCCATATTTCATTTGGGTGAAATTGATCTGGTGGATAGATCGATTTATTTGAATTGAATATGTAGTCCCCCAGATTGTTGAAATATATCAATCAATGGGCAACTGTTCCCCCAGATGGCAACGCCATTGTTATACAAGTCTTAGCCACATCATAGTCATTATATCCATCAAGGGCACAGTTGAGAAGGTGATTGAGAACTACTGGATCGATTGTTTGGTACACTTACCTGATCAAATGCAAACCACATGAGCAGTGTTCAAAACCGTTTCTGCCATTTGAGTTGGTTAATTGGGATTCCCCTTGTTGATTATTATAATATATTATGATGTTAGTTACAATTTATCAAACAACACGGGTTTTAAACACTGCTCGCATATTTAGCATGTACTCTTTCCAGCCCCTGGCTAGTATTGGCAAATTAACCAACACAGGTAAACTAGCTAGGGTAACCAAAGTACTTATGATTTTCATCATTTCATAATACAATCTCAGAAAAATGAGTTTGGAAAAATGCCCCGGGACCTAGAAATATAATAATGTTTAATCAACTTTTCCAAACTCATTTCCTGTGGTGGTCTAGATTCTGGGGAAAGTATGTATGGTTCACCCACTAATTCTACATTGGTGGGTGTTAAACTGGTTTGCTACCTGGACCTGTAGTGATATCAGTGTTTGAGACATAGCATTATTGTATATAATGATCATATATCATACCGGCCGATGTCTATATTATAATAGATATAGATTTAGTGTTCTGAGCCAAGGACGCAAGCAGTTGCCCAAGAGCTTCACGACACTGGAATGCGATTTCTGGACACCTACACTGTCCTTTGTGTGGAACACATCAGGCCTGGTTAGGGTTGACAGTTGACCTAGGAAAAGTCTTGGATATGATATATATAATATATTATACACTCTATAGATACTACCTGGATGTCAGGTAATTCTCCTCACTTATCACTTTTACTTTTATACCATCCTTTCTGTGCTTGGAGGATGGGAAAAGTCCGATGGCAAATGCGTCCAAAACACCATGTGGCTAAGCTGGACTTTAGTCTTGCAAGCGTGCTGATATCAACATGTGGTGTGTGTATTGCCAATACCCTACCTAGTCACTTGGGTTTTTTCTACCTGCTGACGTGTTGTTTCTTGGATAAGTTGAAGTGCTGGGGGCCAACTTGTCTGATGTTTGTATTCAAGGTTTTTGCACATTTGTGCAAAGATGCATTACGGTGGAGCACCTTGGAAAAGATTCGAGTTTGTATGTTTGGATACTGGGTACGGGGTCCTGTGATGTCCTGTATTTAAGTTTCACGTGGAGCTGTGGTTCCAACCTTGGCTGGGCCAAGGAACCAACTGCCGAATGTACCACACATTTGTAGATGAAGATGCTATGAGGTGGCTCAAAGGTGTCTTGGATGTTCAATTGCTGCTGCCTGTGGGTGGAATGTCCTGTTTTTTCCAAAAGCATTATAATGTTTTGTGTCAAGGTGTTGCAGCTAAAGCTCATCCTCGGTGTCGCCATCTATGGCTTCTAAAATGTGCAAAATTGAGGCCTTCAGCCAGTTAGCACATGGGCCAATCATGTGGTATATAAGCTTGGTTTCCACTTTACTGGTCAGTACTTGGTGTGCAGGCTTCTCACTATGAAGTACCGCGTAGATCGGAAAAGGACACTTAATTGCAAAAGAAGGTGGTTTTGGAGGTTTGGTGATAGTTTTTGTTACCTGTGCTCAAGCGAAAGGGGCTTGACAGGGTTGCAAGGGGTATGTGGCACCAAGGACCCGGGGAAAACGAGGTTGAGATCGAGTACACAATAGTTTGGACGTGCGTTTGCGCAGCGATGAGTCAAAAAACACCGGTGCATAGCTGAATTCTCAGAATGATAGTGTTTGAGGGGAAATGAAGGCCCCCACGAAAGACCATTTCGACATTTGGAATAATAGACCTTCTTAAAGTAACATTGTTTTAATCGGCCTTGGATAGCTAGGGTATATATATATCAACGCAACTAGGATATACAATCCCAACGGGCCCCAGTTCTTTGCAGGGTTACAACCCACAAAAACGAACCATAAATTGCCAATTCTGGGAACATCTAAGCAGCGTCATGCAAAATTATTCTATGTCCACCGCTATTTAATTCTCGTTAGGCAACCAGAGGGTAGGAGGGAAATTCACCACCGATCAAATCGGTAAGTATATCCACTCTAGGTAAATAAATATATTAAATATCATATCCATCAAATAGTCATTAAATATCCATTAATTATCCATCACATACGTATCCATTCAATATGTCATATCCGCTAAGAATCGCAGAAAATCTCTATGTTTGATACTTCAACACCAGCCCTCAAAACCATGCTCCCAGCGACAAATCCCCTCCGGGCGGCATGGAAAGAGGCGCACGGCCGCCGCCAGCTGCGCGCTGAAGAGACGCTTGCGATCCGGGAAGGAGAGGCCCGGAAGGTGCAAGGCCTGGAACGAAGCCATCCTTGGGGGATGGCTTCAGGTTCTATGGGGAAAATCCATGGGAAATCCATGGGGGAAATAATTACCATAGGGGAAATGGTGACCTTATGGTCTATGTATATAAATGTATATAACAGATTGCAACAGTTTTCCAAATAAAAAATAATGTGTCAAACAGGTAGATCATCTGCAAATCGGTCAAGTTCACTCATTTTCAATAGCTATGTTGGATTACCGGAGGGCATATGAGTGTTTCCGAACATGGGGGAATATTATCCAAGATCATCTAACTGCTTATATATAATTATATAGCTATTTTGAATGGGTAGGGTCACCATTGGTTTGCATGATGGAGATTAATTATGTTTTGCAAAGGGGTTGATCTTCAGCAGCCAAACCATGGGCTCGTGCCAAACCCCTTCGCACATAATTACATCAATCCTCATCAATCTACCCCATTCCCAGACATGATTTTTTGATCTCTCTCTCTCTCTCTCTGTCTCCTCTCTGATAATTCAATCTTGCAGCGGAAAATGCCCGATTAGAAGTGATCTTTCCCCTAAAAGTGAAGGACTTTTCAGATTCATCAGATTGGAAGGGATTTGGTCATCTGCCGCCTCCTGCCGCGAATGGTAGAGCTGCAAATCGTGCAATTTACCATTTTCTTGTGACAAAAGATCTTCGAGCTCATCCTGGGAAAATGCGATCCCTGACCCCTGCAGAGAAGCTATGAGTGGAGATGATCGCAATATTTGAGACTATATAATATGCAATACATGCATAGTGTATTTCTATTTATATGTAGATATTAAATATAATTTGTATATATTATATTTGTATGTGAAAAGAATGGCCTTTTTGCAACAGGCTGACTTTGGGCAGCATTGGATCCCCATGCCATGGGTGGGTTCAGTGCTTAACAGCACATCTCTTTTGCACAATGTTATATATATATACCAAACAAATGGCTCGCGCATGCTCGCGCGAGGTCCGTATCGCAGAAAAATAAGTTCTGCTGCACTTCCGAATCTGCTTCCGGCCGGCTGTCCTCAGCATTTCTCACAAGTCTGGCGGTCTGCCGGCTCTGAGTTCCAGCTTGTCCAATGAGACATATTGGCAGTGCTTGAAACTGGGAAGTCAATGGACATCAATGGACTTATCCAAATCCCAACTATCCAAAGGTGAGAAAGCAACCCCCGTAAGTCAAAAATTACCCATTTTGGATGTGTGTTTTGGCCCAAAAATGAATCTCAACCGTGGCCAAAGGTCTTCTGCCTCACACCTGCTGCATTTGCACAGGAAGCCCCAGTTGGACAGCAGCCGCTGCCGCCGGACTTGCAGGGGCACCTCGGAAGTTGCCACGTTGGAGCTTGTAAACCCACCGGGCAACTGGCAACTCAGCTCCCACGCTTTTCACCACCAAGCCACAGTCAGGCAATCCGAATTGTAGCTGTACACAATCCTGAGTGGGGAAGCTCAGTCACCTTCCTTTCGCTTTGACCAACCTTTGTCAGCCTTTATCATGCCAAACAGTTGACATAGGTGATACATGTCCTCACAACAACTACAGCTAATTAAGAAACTAATTATGTCCAATTACATCTGGGTTTGTCTGAATATTGCGTACCCCTACATCCACTGAAGGGATCAGCGATTTTCGACCAAGTACCAGGTCGATTCCACTTCTAGCGCACCAGGCATATTCCCGAGCCCATGGATTGACTTTTGGATGGACCTACCCAGCCATCAAACATGGCAATGGGAAATCCTCCGGTAAGTTGGCATAGAAATAGAAAGAGGAAAATCACAGAACCTCACAGAACATCAATAAAAGCAGGTTATAATGGGAAAATCCATTGTAAATGGTGTTTTTCATTGGGAATATCGTCGATAGCTGATGGTTGTCCAGCCATGTTTGACACCTGCTCCTGCCAAGCATCTCTGTTCCCTTGGATATCCCAAGCTCTGCCACCACCACCATGGCGGTGTGACACTCCTGGCTGTGACACAGACACGTAGGTGTGACACGAAATGATCCATGCACCGACAGCCCTATAGAAACAATGTGTTCTATCTAGACATTGATTATTGTTTGACCATGTCTTTTAACTTATTTCAACTTGAAATGTTAGGAAATCAAGACCATGACTGAGGTGTAAAAACAGGAATCATTGACCGACCAAGCATCCGAATGAGGGGGCAGCTGTGTGATGGCCGCATTGGGCGCACAGCTGTGATTGAACAAGGCCATCACCGGAAGAAAACAGCAGCCGTTGAGATGGAAAGAATTGAAGCGAACCTTCGAGTACCTTGGCTCTCGAAGTCAACTGCACAAGATACTACAACACTAGCAAGACCACGAGTCCAAACAAAGTTTCAAACGTGCTAGGTCTGCTAGGTTCAGCAAAAAAAAATGACGTGTATGTGATATATGTTTTCCATTATATTCCCATGTATCTTAAACACTCTTAACAACTATTACCACTCTATTGATAATGGGCATCTTTGGAAGTTTCCATAAATGGGGCACCCCAATTTATGCATGCTTTATCATGGAAAATCTGATCAAAAATGGATGATTTGGGGCCCATATTTGAGGAAACCATAGGAAAGCCTCATTCATAGCCTGAGATGCACTTCTTCCCACTCCTGGCGCCGTGAGGCCGTCGACAAACGCCGAAAAACGTTGCAACAGTTTTGCCATGGATGGCCATTGAACTAAATGGTTCATCTATCTGTATATCTATATATTTTTATGCGTACACCGCATATACATGCATATACCATAGCTATTTGTTCTGGTAAAAGGGCAGCTTTCTGCTTCATGAGCGTCTCCACGAATCACAGAAAAGCTATGATGTACTCTATATCTCTATCATGATGTACTTTATCAAAGTATGTCAAAGAAAACACATGGACTGCGGGATCAATTCCGGTGCGCGATGATCATAATGTCAGCTCCCGCCTGAGAAACCCCAGCCGATCAATGCTAGTCTGCTACATCTATGATTGTTGATTAATTGAAATGGTACCCTGTAACTAGACCCAATGCATTTTATTATCAGGCGGTAAGACTGCTCATGGCAGGTCCTCCTCTGTGATTCCCTCTGGAATTTTCACGCAGTGGCCTCGGCAGGAAATGTCGAAGATTGATGAAGATGTTCCATCTTTACTTGTATGTCAATGGTTAAACTGCTTAGTTCATGTCTTTGAAAGGGGGTTATCAACTATATTGATTACTCAAAGTTAGTACTTGGTATCTAGAATGGCCCACGCAGTTTGTAGTAAGCAATTAGCTGAAACGCAAGGCAAACCACATGCCTAGTACACACAAATCTTACCCAAACCATCCCAAAGCCGTCTGAAACCTGGATCAAACATCAAACACCATCAAAACATGGTTATGTGCCTAATCTATCTTGACGAATTTTTGGGAGCTCCAACCTGGCTCTCCATGAAAATATCATTTATATATCTAAATCTAGTTATATCATTTGAAGGAATATAGATCCCCCAGTCCCCCACTCCGCGTTCATCGCTCCCATGGGATCCCATGGTGCACCGGGCCTTGCAGGTGGTGCACGGGCCCTTGATAGAGGTGAGCCACTTGCGCCCGAGCCTCTGGCGGCTGCTGGGGATGGGGACCTTGCGACCTTTTCGTGACGATTACAAGCAGTTGAAAGGGAAAACAAGGGAACACATCTATGAAGAATTAATATAAGAACTACAGTATGCGAAACATGGTGAAAACCAAGGTTTTACCCTAGTTTTTCGTAGATGTAGGGGCGAGAATACCGCGGTTTCTCGGAATTTGTGTCTTATCAACCCATTTGCGAAAACGTCCAATGGTCCAATGTCATAAGGATGATTGCCGCAGAGCATACACCACCATTCCAAAAAATAGCTGTGAGTCTGTCCGTCCACCTCTCGACGCTATCTTTCTGTACAGATTGTGATTCTTGGGAAAACCAAATGGCAACCAATTCGGTTGGTTGGTTGGTTAACAGACCCAAATGGGACAGACCCATGTGATGGGGATGGTGGTTTGCAAGGTGATACAGTCCTATCATGTCCTATCTAAATGGGACAACTTCTTCCAAAGCTTCGCCTCAGGGGATGACAAGACCTCAAGCACCAAATGCTCTGCGCTCTTGGCACGAAAACCTTTTTCTTGGAAAACCACATCCTCAGTGCTAGCATTGGGGTGAACCTTACCCTGGGGCGTGGTGTCAAATTGGAGCTGAAATATACCAACAATTGAAGGCAACCACAGGAATTCTGGTCAAGATTGGTCAAGTCTATCTGAATCTGTCGGCGGCAAGATGCGGCAAGTGTTGGAACCAGAAAAACACATCCCAAAATCTGGCATAGGAGGCAACAAAGCCACTTCAAGCAGCACACATGCCACGGGCATTTCTGGCCCAGAGAAATTGGACTACATGTTCTGAAGCAAGTGTTTGTCAAACCTGCATCACCATCCCCATCACCATCATCATCATCATCACCATCATCATCATCATCATCATCACCATCATCATCATCATCATCTTCATCATCTTCATCATCATCCGGTTTGCATTCCTTTTGCTTCCTATAGGTTCATAGGCACAGCCGTATAGGCTAGCTACAACATAAACGTAGGAACTTAGATGAGATCATCAGATTGGTACCTGATGTACGTACCGATACCCTTGACTACTTGGGTAGATGCTTGGGACTTGGAATGTTAAGAAATATATATGCAGATGATTGCAGATGTGGTTTCACCATGTTTCACCTCCCGATATCTTTTTGAAGCTCCCAGTTGATGCTCCAGCCGCTCCACATTTGAAGTCTTTGCTCGCAACCAATCCTCTGCCTGTCCAAGTGCTATTTGTGGCTTGCCATTTTTTTTCAGAAAGGTCATAGTCTGCAACAACGACCCTCCAGCCAGTCAGCATAGATGTGCAAAACTCATGGATTTTCCTGGGAAATCACGATATGCTTTTTGGGCTTTCCATATCTACATTAATTTGCTGAACAAATGATGTACTTGCATGAAGACAAGACCTGGGAAGCATGGAACTGCGATCATCATAGGTCTTGCCATGTCTTGCCCAACTATGGCTAATTTTAGATGCCCGTTCAGGAGCAATTAGCCTTTAGCAGGATAATATATAAATGTTAATAAATCATATACAGTATATCACACTGAATGTGATGATATAAATCATGCTCAGCTCTCTGAATATATATATATATGTATATCTCTTCAAGTATGGCTTGGTTCATTAGCCATTCATCTACCAAACCTGGGTGTAACCAGAGCGGCTCACCTGGGTGGACCTGCATCCATGACCGATTCGGACATCCGTAGTGTGTTTTCCTCCATGAATTCTGGGAGTATCATTCAGTGTTCGAATCAAATGGCTATGGCTCAAGAATGGATCACCAGCCCACGTAATTCAACTGTTTTTGTTCCCATCCAAACCTGTTTTTTGGGAACTTCCTAGCCCATACCGGAATGGTGGTCTCTTAAAATGGAGCTACCCCAAAATCATCCAAAATTAAGATCATTTACCTAAACCATGCAAATACCCAAACATCTTTTAAAGGTATTAAACTCATGATCTTAAACACACCATTATTATGGTTACTCGGAGGGTCTAGTAGTCTAAGTCTATCTTAGTCTCAATTCTTGGAGAATGTGGCTTTTGGTGTCCCCCATCTTAAAGAAACACTATATAAATGATACTAAATTCAGACGCATAGCAGCCAATCAAAAACTCGGGAAATTGGCCGCGGGTCATCACCTCTGGACGCTAGGTCTTGCAACTCTAAGCCAAAGGCTTTCCATGGCTCAGTCTCCATGTAAGAAATGGAAAATTGAAGGGATTGGTTTCAGTGGAAAATCTATGGAAGTTTAAGACACAAGTTGTCTTTGTAAATCCCTGGGATTCCATGGGTTGGTTGAAGGGAAAATCTTGGAGCCGAAACCCCTGGGTTTTACCCACGGCTTCCGGATGTTTGAAGCCCCTACAGTGCGACATCAACCATGAACACACGCCAATTGAGGCACAACACAAAGAGTATTGCTATTTTCAACCTGTTTCGAGAAATACCCTCTGCAGAAAAATTCTGAAGTGAAAAATCGCACTCTATCCTTCAGGAAACCATTCAAACATCTTCAACACATTCTGAGTATGATTCACTTTTCAACTCACAGCTTGCCTTTTCCACAGGTTTTCTTTGGATCATGGATGATACCTGATCACGTTCACCTGAACTTTTGTGAGCCCAGGCTTCAGCATATCGACAGGCGACTCTCTTGGTCATCTGAGTCCCAAGGATCGAAGCGACTGAGGATGTGGCGACAAAGGCACTGGGCGAAAGCACTTTCACCACACCCTGCATTGCCGCTGCATTTATCGTTGTGTCTTTCACAAAACGCTGATAAATTGTGCCTAAAGTACCATGAAAGTGTGCCATCAAAGAGCTTGCCTTGTGAAACCAGTGCAACCCTGACACCGCCAAAAACATTGCGAGAATGACATGAATAGATTAAATATATAGATTATGATCATGATGCTAGCATATGCTAACTTGAACATGTTTTAGCATCTTCACTCTTAACTTGTAATTACCCACTCTTTCAGCAAGTTGACCCTAGCCATGCCACCCATAGCTTTTGTAGGACCTCCCTGGAAGGGGTCAGGGTTTCAGGATTTTCAAGGCGGACCCAAAACTCTGCCGGATGTGTATTCGTTGTCCGCCAAACATTTTTGGCTGAATGATATTTTTTACAGATTTGTCACGCAAGTTTGTGTGCCCCAAAAGCCCAACATCTGTGGTTTTTACAGCATTTTTCGCATTTCAATGCCATGTATTGCAAGGTACTACTCCGTTTTGAGACAAGCCCATATTGAACCCTGGCAAGCCCTCCATCAGTGGAGAAATACTCTGTCATGTCATAATGGTTGTTGAAAATGGTTGATGTTTTGCTGTTTTATTTTCTTGCTATTGTGCGGTTGGGAAACTCCAAGTAGCTCCTTAGCTCCCTCCTCACATCTCCTCACCCCCGGATAACGTGGAAATGCCAAGATGTGATCATTTTCTCCGACAAATCCACGCCATATACAAATCAATGATACATCTGATAATACAAGTGCAAGAAAAAATATATATATATATATATAAATAATAATTAATATGAAATATATAGACATTTCTCTATCCATATATATATAATATGTTTATTATACAGCAGATGAATTGGGTTGACCCCCCGCCTGCATCAAATTGGCCTTGGGCGAGCTTCGCAACTCGGAGGTGGACCTGGAACCTGCGCGTGTCGCGCGTGGCGCGAGGTACACGGAACCAGGGTGCTGAACCCCGGGGACGTGTTTTATGGTGGTGAAACATAGCGATTTTCCATGAAAAAAACAATGGTTTTCCATGTGAAAACCAAAGATCTTGTGGGTTGAAGATGGTTTAAGCTATGTGAAACTCTGCTGTAGGTCATGTCTAAAATCCAGAACATGATATGAGACTGAAAACATACTGATGTATTGATTGTTGGCAAATCAGCTTTCAGTGCAATTGGGCAAACATGGTTTGTTGAAAAAAAGGGGAACACAAAATGATGGTTTAGAACTGCATTTTCCGATTAAAACTGCCATTTGGGTGGCCCCATTCTCACACACTCAAATATCAGCTTGCTAGGTTTACAAGTAACTTAGATCCTAATAATATGTGTATATAATTATATATATATACACCACTATATATATATACCACTATATATATATATAGTGGTGTCCATGGAATGGTGCTTTAATTTTAATTAGCCCCGTACAAATTGGCAAACTTGTGTTTAATTCAGTTGACGAAGCTCAAAAGCCCAAGCAGTTCAGCTCCGGACCCGTAAAAAAGGCCGCAGCGTCTGAACCTCGACATGGGATGGATTGGCCCGATGGAAAACATTATCGGAAACGATGTTCTTTTTAGCCACTAAAGAATTGGTTTTCGTGTATGTATATATATATATATATATTGCTGTTTTTCCTTCAACTGATTCTGAGAAAGTGGCATGAATGGGTAATCCAAACATAATGGCATATCAAAACTGTTATACTTTTTATTATTACTATTACTATGGTTATTTCTAGCATTGCTATTACTAGTACTATTATTGTTATATAAGTTAATTCTATGTAATAACCATAGTAACTTTGCAAAATCAATGGCGGGAAAGTTAGTATTACTATGATTTTATCATTACTATTGCTATTATAATGACTATAAATGGATGACCCCCATGGCCCCATGGCAAAATTGTTGGTGTTCCGACTCAGTTTTGACCCGATGACTGAGGCGGAAACTACTTGTGCGCGCAGTGCCTGCAGTTGCTGACCGAACTCACCAACATTTGTTACCACCATTGTTTACGCCCAATGGCCCAAGAGTAACCTAGGTATATAGAATTATATAATTATGTATAGGTATAATAGTGCATAATCTCTGCACATAGTTGGATATGCGCGAGTGTGCATATGCAAAATTGCAAAATAACTTACAGTAGTTGAGTATGCCGAGTACATGTACATGTAAATGATAATAAAGAAATAGAGGTTTTTGACATTATATATATAATATATATATAACTACATATGAATATACACATGGTGATTTACGTACATTCATCAAATTGTGTATCATGCATACCTACCAAATATATTAGATGGATTCTATAGACTTGCCTCTGCAAAGCTTCTCTTTAGAGCTGTGGGATTTGGCTGGTGCCTGGTTTCTGTCCGGGCGAATCCAAGGATGCTCGTGAACGAGTATCTGAAGTGACCTTGGTGTCAGGGAAGCTACGTTTGTAGTGATCCCCGGAAGAAACAAATGGTACTGTAAGTAACCACTGGTTTGGTAGAATTGCGGGAATTGCTTTTCTCTTTCGGGGGGAGCAGTGAGTCAAACAGAAAAAAGGTACGTCCAGCTGTTTTGGGATTGTGTCCTCAGGAAAAATCTCCGTTTAAATCCCATGGAAAAATCACTATTTTATCCTATCAAATCACCATTCAATCCCACACAATATTCCCATTTTATATCATTTTATCCCATGAAATTGACATCAATCACTAATCACGAAACAGTTGGTTCAAATATCTCCAGTTCTCACCGCGAAATCACCCGTAAACCATTCACCAGGTGGTTGATCACCATTGAATCTCAATAATCACTATGAAAACACATCCTGCGCGAATCATTGTCCGAACGGTTTCAACCATGGCTTTTGCATATCTATGTGAACGTTTAGAGTCAATCAACAGTAACTATACTTAGCTCATGAACATTCATTAACTATCATTAACTATCATAAATCAGCTATAAATTAGCTATAAATCAGCTATAAATCAGCTATAAATCCCATGAACTCCCCATGTTTCTTACTGAAGAAATCACCCATGAATCGCCAGCAAGTCACAGATGCGGTGAACGCCTTAGAGCTGCGGCCCACGGCAACGCCAAGTTCAAGGCCTGCGGTGCTGATGGCGTGCGGAATTTTGGTGAACCTGGGAATCTATGATATCTATGATCAATGGATTGGGGAAAGGGGGACAGGTTGCAGGAAAGCCACATACTTCAGGTATTGAATGGGAAACTCCTATGGTTTTCTGTAGATTCTCCCTTAAAGCAATAAAAGGATATGACTTGGGCCTTGGGGCCTTTGGGAATCTATGAATTGTGGTTGGTTGTGCTTACTTTTGAAGCCATCTTCTGGTGATTTTCATTGATCTGGGGAATGATTTGACGTAATCAATTATGCACAAGCAACAATCATATATTTGCAAATATTAAGGAAGGTGAGGCTCCCAAACGATAGTTAAGTTGCTGGAAAGAACTAGGTGAATTCTATGCATCATTATGATAGATATATCGAACTAGTTAATGGGTTTAAAACCAATCAATAACTGTGGCTGCTCACCGTGTATGATTTGGATTAATTTTGGGAATGTATGATGTTTTGTGTTGGTATTTTGGGTTTTCACTTGGGTGTTTAATTCAAGGTAATATATCTACTGTGATTTTGTTTGATTGATCAGTTTAAGAATGCAATTGAGTGGTTACTAAAGGACATGAGCAAGAACAAAGTGACCGTAACAATGTAACAATAATAATCATGATTAAACAGAATCACGCGCGTAGATTCTTTCGAGTAGCGGAGCAAAAGCCAAAGTGGATACAATGTGGGGCCGCCAAAATATTGATTTGCTTTATAATTTGGCTACGCATTGGGTTATGGTGAACCTGCCTACAGTTGTACAGTATGAGTTGCTTGGGTTTATCATTACCAACTTATAACTGACTGGCGGGGTTCACATGCGCATTTTGGAAACGTCCAAGTCATGAGGTAAACCCAATGGCCCCCTACAGTAGCGTTCTTGCATGCATAGAAATAAGTGTTGGATTTTCCTCTCTCTCCTCTCAAATTGTTGAATGTGCTTCGTTTCTGCTTTCTGCTAATTTTCCTTTTTGTTCACACATGCAATCAATGCATTTCAATGTGCTGGTGATTGGCACTTGGAGCTCTTGACATTGGCTCGTGCTAACAATTTTAGCGGCCAATTTCCAATGTTGCCACTTGCCCTCTGGGACTTTAACAAAGCTATTGACAATCCCCATGTTTAAAAGGAAAATCAACGCACCACATGGGCCATGGCTTCCAGTTCGCACTCAGTTAAATTCCAAGAGGCTAGTTGAGATTCTTTGGATGTTCCCCTTTAAAATCCCATTCAAACCTCCATTCCCTCCATTTTCTGAAAATTCCATGAGCATCCCCTTCAAAACACCGTGCAAATCACCATGTTTACAGTAATGGTTTCCCCCATCAAAATCCCATTCAAACCACCATGTTTAATGGACAATTCACATGAAAATCCCATTAAAACTACAGTAACATCTTAAACACTTTTCCCTAAGATCCAATTCAAATCACATCCCGAGCAGCGAGTCATTTGGATGGCCTCCACTCTCGGGTCTTCCGGTGCTGGCAGAGGCTGAGGATCTCTGCAGCTCATCGCGCTGTCGGCGGACCTGGAATCTGAACACTTCGGCCATTTGGAGATGATTTCCCTTAATCATCATTCCAGTGAGGTCACAGTGAGGTCGTCATAATTTACCCAGAAATAAATAAATAAATAAATATAATATTATATATATTATAATTATAATGCTATTATATTATAATTTATAAATATACTAATGTTGATTGCATTGTGCTCCAGAAATTATATGGTAAACTATAAATATATTAACATTATATTATGTTATAGTATAATGTGTTTATACTATAATATATTATATTATGGATGATGTTATGTGGATAAGTGTGTAATTTGGTGGGTGTTGTATGTCATGTAGATGTGTACATGTTCGACGTCTTCACTACCAACCACAGTCAGTTCATCACGAACCTAGAAAACCGAACTTCGGCAAACCTCCTGGTTAATCATCACTTCCACTTCGAAAAAGGTGAACCACCAGAAATACAACGCAGTGTCCCCTAGTAAGCTATGTTTGTTGGTCAACTACTTCGACATATCTATATAATTATCCATAAATCATGTATATAGAATTCAACTTAGTTCAATTAGCTTAGCTACCGAACTGGAGCACCACCTTTGAACATCACCCATCCGCTTCCGCGGCCGCACCGAAGCCAACTGATTCTCCAAATCGGCCACCAAGGTCTGAAAGCCATGCGGCCACCAATGTTGGATGCCGATGGGGTTGATCAATTTGGGTTACTGGTGAATAACTGAATGACTTATTTACTAACCAGGATTCGTATCATATTTCATGGTGACTGGTTGGCATTGGATAGCAATGGTCCAAATTGGTTAAATGGTGGTTAATCGTGGCTTATAATGGATTATAATGGTTTGTAGTGCTTAATCATTGTTCGTAAATGATCATAAATGAGTTTATTCAATAGAACATCAGCAGGAAACCGTTTTTTGTCCTTCATGTATGTATTGTTTTTTTCTGTAAATGGCATGGTTTGGCCAAGAATGTTCAAATTCAACATTAAGCCATCAATTGTAGGCATCTAGGATACCATGAGGTTTTTTTGGAATGACTATCCTCCAATAAATCAACATGAACAAACATAGATATGGACAGCCCTCTATGAAAGTATATCTTCCTTGGCAAGGGATTCTCAGTATCTATCTTAGTGTGCTGGAAGGAAATGGAACAGCATAAACGGCAATTAGTCATGCGGTATGGCTTTAAAATACCACTTTTGAAAAACACATTGGAAAATGAATAAACTTGGCACTGGGTATGCCACAATTGGGTTTTCTACATCCCCTTGAACTGACATAGACCGTGCCAGTTTTGGGCTTCCTTTTGGGGGCGTTGTCTGTGAAGCCATTTCCCCTCTCCAATAGGTGAAAAACGCCTAGTGTATTGTAGAATAACCATAGTTGAGCCAACTCTGGCGCCACAAAAACAGTTTGCCGTGCCTGCAGCCTGCCCACTTCCTCATCCACATCATTCTTCTGCACCTGGCAGTGAATGAGGTTGATTCCTTCAACCTGGGAAGGGATAAACGAGTTGTGGACTCATCTTACGACCAGGGTTGACATGGTTGGAGCAACCCTGTCTTAGGTTGATGCTTAAAATCCCATCCAATGTGGTGCCCCCCCAATAAATAAGTTGCTGCATAAACCCTATTAACTGTAGTTATATAAATAAGTTATAAGTATCATAAACCATAGTTCTTAGTTACTGGAGTTATTATTTGCACCAACTTAGCTATCGAAAAAAAAAAAAAAAACAGTAGTCCTTTGGGGGCCCCACTTTGTCTCCGAACACAACCGCTGCCTCCAAGGTGTAAAGCTTCTCGGAGAGCTCATCGAAGACACGCTTCCCCTCCTCGTGCACCCGCTGCAGAGATTGCTTGCGCCTGGCCATGGATGTTTTCTCAATCCTGTTGATATTACAAGTCATCCCAAGTCTACTACATTACAAACATATAGCAATATACATGATCATACATGTGATTACCCATAGGATCCGTGTATGCTATATATGGTAGCATGGATCCCATCAATATACCCCCAATGTTAGCATATATACTAGGGCCATGGATCCTATGGGTTATGTCATTCACATCCAGCCTGGCTTCGCTGGAGATGCCCTCACTGGTGTCCAGAAGCTGCTCCAACTGCGCCCAGTCGCTGCTGCATTAGACATGCATCTAAAATATCATAGTTCATCTTACCTTAGCATGCATATGTATATATATATATATAACTTACATATATATATATAATATTACATTACATTACAATATTAGATCATTGTGTATATATATATATAAACAATATACAAATAGGCGTACATCCCATCTCATCACCAAGAGAAAGCATGATCTCTGCAACCAGATTTGACAGATTCGTTTCGGTTCCGGATTCCCTCCTTCAAACGGACGTCCGTTTGTTTCAGTAGAATCATCACGCGCGCAGTGCGCTATATTCATCCCATGCGCCCTGCTCCATAAGATTCTGGGACTTCCGAGATCTTCCAAGTCAAAACTAGAATACACGCCCCCTAAAGTGGGGGCTGAGGGCACTGGCCAAAAACATCAAAACAGGTCTGCAGTGAATGCTTTGACCTCTTTTCTCCGTTCTCCATGTGGATGTGGTTCAAAGATAGGGCAATGGACTTACAAAGGCTCCAAGGGTCATCTCTAGAAACGTTAGAATGTCACCAATTGATCAGGCTGAGCCACACCTAAAGCTACCCTCCAGTGTCATCAAACGTGGCTGGGAAATTCCCGAGCTAAAATTGAGGTTTGAATGGAAACATCATTATGGAAACATCATCTATAAAATCTATCAACGAGTGATTTTCCATTGCCATGTTTGATTACCGGATGCTAGTTGATTATAAAATGGAATGAAAATGGGAGGTCACATGAGGTCCCTAATGATCAACCATCGACGGAATCGATGTCCAGGGCTGTGCCGTCGCCGCCCACCTCCTGACTATGCCGCAGCAAGATCCGCAACTGCGCCAGGAGGTAACGACACTGCCTGCGATGGCTGGGCCCCAGCTGGGCTGGGCAGTGAGTCATTCAGCGAGTTACAGCTAGCATCATAACCATGGCAAAAACCAAAAACGACAAATTAACCACAACAAAAATCCGACCAAGGTCGAATTTGTGTGATGTGAAAGTCGGTTCTTTCAGCCCAGCCTGTCAGACATCATTTGCCGCGGGGACAAGTCTTCGTCCTCCAAAGCCGTCCCCGGTAGGTCCTGCAACGACTGATTTGAGGTCCATCTTGTGGCGATTTTGCTGGACCTCCCTTCTCTTATGCTCGTCACTTGGTGATCCCTGTGAAGAGTTAGCTTAAATTGGTACATGTTCATTAATGTGTAATCCCTTGATCATCCATAAACATCCATTGATGTGGGTAAAACAATGTCAAAAACCATCCCTCAAATCACCATTTTTATAGGGGTATAAACCAGTCCCAGTCATGGGTGGTTGATGGCATTGTTTTAACCACATGATATGCACATGAAGTCACCCATGAAGTTCCCCATGAAGTCCCCAGGTCATCCCACCTGTTGTGACGCGAGGATATTATCTCGCGCCTAAGTGGCAACTTGACATAGCTGATGCAGCCGCTTACAGCTGGTTGAGGGGCATTTCCTTACCTTGTTTGCCCTCCAAATGCCACGAAAAACGTACGGGAATTCTGAGGTCAAACACCATGTTTATGGGCACTTGGAGGGTCTAGGTAGATATCCTGACCAATTGGGTGCTAGTCCATGCTAAACCCCCTTCACCGAACAATCACAAAGGCTAGCTGTCCGGGATGCATCGCAAAATCTGGAAATTCCTCCAGAACCAAACCCCAATAAAATGGCGTTAGACCATAGTAACTGTATTATGACATATGGCCGACTCCATGCATATATATATATATATAAAATTCATGATTTAATCCTCACATTTCTGACCACTGCAGTTGAATTAAGAATATATACTGTATATACCTATATATATAATTATATATATATATATGTGTATATGTGATAAGAGACGTCATGTTACTTTAACAGGGCGTTTTTTTTCACAGCAAAGTTTCAGCTCCGTATAGCTCTCGTATCAGCTTCATGTTCATCCCCTCCGGCTCCACCGATAGTCAAGAGACGGCGCGCAGTTGTTTCAGCTGGTCTTGTTGCAGTTGAACCTGGTCATGGATGGTCATGGTTTTCGTGACTGCAGGATCTACAACAACAAAATCACCACCTTTCTTCGATGAGAAAAAATACTTTACTTCGTGTGATCCCCACCATGACATTTATCGATTTGTTACTGGCAAATCTTCTGGCATTCTATCTGGCATATCTTCTGGCATATCTTCTGGCATATCTTCTGACATCCTATCTGGCATTCTATCTGGCATATCTTCTGGCATTCTATCTGACATTCTATCTGGCATACCTTCTGGCATTCTATCTGGCATATTATTTCTGGCATATGTTCTGGCATTCTATCTGGCATTCTATCTGGCATATCTTCTGACATCCTATCGTGCATTCTATCTGGCAAATCTTCTGGCATTCTATCTGGCAAACATTCTGGCACTTTATCTGGCATACCATCTGGCATTCTATCTGGCACATCTTCTGGCATTCTATCTGGCATATCTTCTGGCATTTTATCTGGCATATCTTCTGGCATTCTATCTGCCATGCTATCTGGCGTTCTATCTGGCATATCTTCTGGCATTCTATTTGGCCGTTGAGGTCCAGCGGTGCTCACTGAGCTCGGAAGGCCCAGGTTGAGGTCCAGCGGTGCTCACTGAGCTCGGCGGGTCCCAGGTTGAGGTCCAGCGGTGCGCACTGAGCTCGGAGGGTCCCAGGTTGAGGTCCAGCGGTGCTCACTCAACTCGGAAGGCCCCAGGTTGAGGTCCAGCGGTGCTCACTCAACTCGGCAGGTCCCAGGTTGAGGTCCAGCGGTGACCAGTGTGCTCAGACCCTTGCAGTTGAGGTCCAGCAGTGGCCACTCCGTGCGGAAGTTGGCGAAGAGCTTGGCGAAGAGTTGGCAAGGCGGAAGTGGACATGGAAGTGAAGGCAGAGGTGGTGGAGGAGAAGGAGGAGGAGGAGGAGAAGACAACTCTGATA